TGCATAGCTAAAAACAATAAAAGCATGAATTTCTTCTGTACTTTTGTCCATTTTCATAGATAACATACAGTGTCAAAAAATATTTAAGAAATTCTGTTTAATTTTTTGTTTTTAAAACCCCACAACAGGTTTGGAATAGTTTGAGAAGCTCCCATTAGTTGTTAGCAATGCATTAAAAAAGCAGTAAAAACTTGTTCATTAACAGTAAAAGTATGTTTTCTCAATCATTCATTTCATTTCTTAGAAATATTGCCTTTTACTGTCAATGAACAGTTAAACTAATTCAATCGTTATTCTGTAACACAGTATTTTACCATAATAATAACAGTAACACTATTAGAAGCATTAAAATAAACACAAATGTCTGTGAAATGAAGATGATCATTTGTTTTTGTGTGAGTTTGCATTCTATTTCTGTAAATTAACAACCACAGTGTTAAAATACAGTATGTGTATGGTTGAGTTACATGAATTTAACTCCCCACCCCCCCCAAAAAAACATGTATTGACCATTACATTTTACAGTGAAACTACTTCTTTATTTTACAGTGATACATTAGCCACATAGCTCCAGTGCAAAATGGAAGGAGCAAACTTCAGACACCAAACATGTCTTGGCTGATCCATAGCTCCATTGCAATCTGGGAATTTGGGTAGATTCATTTTTTTGGGTCAAACTGTTTATTTAAAGGTGTCTTCAGCTCTCAGCTTATTTTGCAGAATTCATTTTCACACATATGTGAATGACAAATAAAGTAAAAGCCACTTTTTAAAAGTTCATATTACTGTACTGAAGTACTGAAAATACAGAAGGCACAGTACATCAAATCCATTGATGACAACAGACGAAGAAATGACTGTAGATGACTTTGCCTTTGAAAACTTCTATGAACATTGCTGTTTTTTCTTTTGTTGTTGTTGATTTTTTTATGAATTTGAGAATGCCAGCTGGACTTTATGGTCTAATAGAAATGCTGCAAAATTAAAACTTAAGAGATAAGAATGTTTTTTCTCCTCCAGTAAAGTTACTATTTTGGAGATACAAGGTTTTTGTTTCCAACAGTGACGATATAAACCAAACGTATAGACCACATGTCTCAAGCTCCAGTCCTTGCAGGCCAAAACACTGCAGACGTCAGTACATTGTCTCACTAAACACACCTGATTCTGCTCATCAGCTAATTAACAAGGCCTTCATAAACTGAAGTCAGAGTGTTAGATGAGGGTAAATGCTAATATCCACAGCTCTTTGACCCGGAAGGTCACCAGTTTGATAGTCCTGGTATAGACCACAAGTCATGACCACACCTCTTTTCTTTTTCTCAGATGAAAAAGAAATAGGTGAAATGATAAACTGTGCACTACATGACTGTAAGAGTCCTCTTTGTTCCTAAATGCAGGGCTTAAGTCAGCGTGGTGGGGGGGTGGCGCAGCGAGGACCATCCATATTGCAACTTTTCCATGAATTTGTCATGAGTTGGTGGAAATGTGGAGGCATGTAAATTTTTAATCATAAGGCCATATGGATGGGCTCGGTGGGTATACTCAATGGGGTTCTGACACAGAGCGAGTCAATCCACAGCTCATATAATCCCACCTCTCCTCTCTACAGGCCATCTGACCCCGGGCTTTCACAAACACCACTACACTGCTCTTATCTCCCACCTGCCAGAGCAAAACACCAGACTTCATCCTGCCTGCTGTACAAGTGATGCCACAGACTAATTACCATCACTGCTTAGTGAAGGGCAGGATGGCTATAAGTTACTTTTATCATGATAAATCACAATAAGTCACAACATTGTGAGCATCATCAGAACTTCTAGAACAATGAACTCTAACTTAATGTATCCTGAAGACAGCTTTACACTAATTATAGAAACGCTGTATATAACAATGTGCTGTAACTGCACAAACCACATAGTGACAAGTAGCTGACTGGATGCCAGCCATAACGACATCATCTCACTTTTTATCGATGGATCTTTTTCCTCTTGTTCTTTCTTAAATTGTTTATCATTGTAAATATTGTTGTATTATGTTGCATTAAACGTAACAATAGTGTGGTATTATACCAATTCTAACTTGTTTGCAGACTCAGATTAGGCCTAAGACTAGACTAAATAGGATTTAGCTTCTCTGCTAATCAGATTTTTTTTACAGACAAGTCATCTTGTTTTTAAGCGCATGAAAATGTTAATGCTTCTGTACATCCCCTCTCTCTTTCTCTTGTTGTCGGAACAAAACCTCGTATCTCCGAAATGAGAACTTTACAGGGAAAGGAAAAAACATATTTTACTTTCACTGTAAGTCAATGGAACCAGCCTTTTTCTTCATGAAATTTACATACAATGTAAAGGGGATCATGCTTTGTCAAATTATGTCAAAAACTGAAAAATGGAGATACGGATATATATATATATATATATATATATATATATATACTTTTTTAACAGACTAATTTATTCTAAGACTAATTATTCAGTAACTACCAGGAACTATTCACTGTGTAATTTATTATACATTATTATTAAGTTATTAATGTGTAACAAATTATATATAGCTTATTTTGTATGCTGCACAGCAGTTACCAATGAATGCTGAGCTACTAAATGCCAAGTCTTAATATTAATAGCTGAATAATATGCCTGTAGTTTAAGGGGTTAAAGTACACAGTTGGCTCCATCAGCAGGCTCTGTATACCTGATCCACTGCTAACTCCAGTCTCGTTTACCAGTGACTGATGTAGAAACTGTCTTTAAAGCTTCTTGGTTTGGCACGGGAGTGCTGGTGCCAAAATTAAGCCCTGTGTCATGCCCACCCTCACCTCCCCCCAACCAACCCGCCATGGGAACGTTACATCTTTAATGACGAGCGAGGGTCTCTCCTCTCTCCACATGACACAAAAGCTCTGACATCTGTCTCTCCGAGAGCCGCACTCCAAAAAGCTGCACATTTGTTCCTATCTTTTCCTTCTTGAAAAGAGATCAAAAATAAAAAGAAGAGAGGCGGAAGGAGGGGGGGGCAGCGCTTAAAGAGGGAGGGATGGATGGAGGGGTTAAAACAAAGGGTCTTTTTTTCCTCTCCGAGTGTGTTTGGTGGTTAATTCCCCCATAAAGCATTCCAAAAATTCAAAGTAGGTGTTAAAGAGGACCCCCTCCTCCTGCTCCTCTATCTGCTCCGGTGCTCCTGGTACAGCTCATCTGCCCATAGAAAACAACATGTTTAGATTAATGAGAGGAATAAGGAAAGTAGGCCACATATTCTTCTATGTGTGAAAGGCAACTATGGCAACAAAACCAGGGGAATTTCTATAGGCTCACCATAGACTCCATTCACACTTGACTTAATTAATTTCATCGCCAACAAGGACACATATTATGCGTGTTATAATGAATGTTCATGCTTACTATATTTGTTCTTTATAATGCAGCCACATTCTGTGCTATATTTGACTCTGTTAAACCACATCAGACTTTATTTCAGGTTATCTTAGACTAGAAGGCAAAATTCTTACATTTTTGCAGGCAAAGTCTGCCCTTAGTTATAAACCCAGAGGTTTAGGGTGAAAGTGTCAGCTGTTTAAGCCTCACTTCTCTGCCAGTGAATGTATCTGGCCACTGCTCAATGGCGACCTGCAGTGTTTCATGCTCAACATTTTGTCTTGTCTTTGTTGTTACTGTTTCATAGTTGTTCATGTTTTAAAATTTCTTTTATGCCTTTTTGGTACCGTTTTCCCTTTGATGTGGTCAATGTGGTCAGCATTACGCCAATGCGAATCATTGAAAAATAACTTCCATATGGGAACAGAAAAGCTAGTGCTAGAATGATAAAGGCGCAGTTATATGTGAGGCCTCCTTAACAGAGCCTTAACAAAGTAGTCTTACAAAGTAGTCTTCATTTTAGACTTATAAACATTATTAGTGATTATGCAGACCTTTAACAGTTACAGTGAGCTGGCATTAACAGACTTTTAAAGGTTGTAAGAAATTCTGTAATTACAGAATTCTTAAAGGGACCATATTCTACATTCATATCTACATTTTTATTGTATTTTATGTACATTATTTTTTTGAAAAGTGAGAAAAATTGCATTTCAGTATTAAAGAGGAATTCCATCTTTTTCCTGCATAATTCAGTCATTGAGGTGTAACCAGAGTCATTTATAGTGGTTCAATGTGAAATGGTTCATTGTAGAGAAACAGATTTCTTTACAGAAGCAGGGGTCGCGATGTCTGCAACACAAATACAGCTATTTTATTTTTTAAGTAATGCTGATAAAACACTGACAAATCAGAGAAAGGTTTACTTTTGGTACATTTTTACCTTACAATGTTATGTATATACCACTTGGTGGCACGGTGGTGCGGTGGGTAGCGCTGTTGCCTCACAGCAAGAAGGGCCTGGGTTCGATTCCCCGGCCCTTTCTGTGTGGAGTTTGTTCTCCCCGTGTCTGCGTGGGTTTCCTCCGGGTACTCCAGTTTCCTCCCACTGTCCAAAGACATGCAGTCAGGCCAATTGGACATGCTAAATTGCCCCTGAGTGTGAGTGAATGTGTATGTCTGCCCTGCGATGGACTGGTGACCTATCCAGGGTGTATCCTGCCTTCTGCCCGATGACAGCTGGGATGGGCTCCAGCACCCCCCGCGACCCAGAAGGAGAAGCGACTTAGAAGGTGTGTGTGTGTATGTACCACTCGACCAAAAAACTGAAAACTTTATCTCAAAACTACCTAAATAATGACTCAGGAATTGACTAGCATATCAGTAACTATTTCACATAGTAGCTTCAGGTATTGTTCAGGATTGGTACCTGAACAATTCGGAGAGTAAGTCTCTAGAATGGAACTTTTTTATAGCAAACCACTCTGAACGACTTCACATCTTAAAGACTGAATTATGCAGAAATTCTGACACAACGGTGGCGTTCCCCTTTAAGGCATGCTGCAGTAACAGCCTCCTGCAGACAGGAGGCGATCCGCTGCAGTTCAGCTTCGTTCTCCGCACACTCTGAAGGACGGAGTGAAACATGGCGGCCTCCTTGCTGAGCAGGAGGGCAGCTTCGCTGTTAAGCATTACTACATTAAAGTCTTTTCTGCCCGCTCTTTCGGAGACCGGTGTCTTACAGCAGATAGCTGGCTATAACCCCCGACCCCTCAGGCTGAACCTAAAAGACCCCTACATTCCGGATAAGAGCAGTGAGAAGACTCCCGAGTGGCAGAAGACGGAGCGCTATGACAGGAAGGTGTTTGCTCGGTACGGCAGCGCGTCAGGAGTGAGCCCGGCTCTGCTGTGGCCCTCTCCCGCCCAGCTGGAGCAGATCATCGCCGAGGAGAAACAGTGGCACCCTACGCTCGAAGAGACGCTGGAGAAAGTCGCAGCGAAAGAGAAGGAAAGAGCGGCTAAACGGCTTGCGAGGTAACGTTAACGCTAGCTGACCGGCTCACTGGTCTCGTTATCTGTCCGTACATCATGGGTTTGGGTTTCATGACCTGCTGGTTTCCGTTCACCTTTAACCGTGTTAGCGTTTTCAGGGCTACATTAAGGCTGAATCTCAAATGGCGTCTTACTGCCTATGTAGTGCACTGTGTAGGTCCAAAATAATATATACCTAAATAACGCTTTATATTGCGTTACATGTATCTAATATATACGTGTATATGTATATATACATACATACATGAGATGGATGCGGTTCTGAGTCTATGATAAGTCATGGTTTAGTTGCTTCCACACAGCTGTAGGAGTTGAAGGGGAGGTTATAACTGGCTTTGTTATTTATTTCGCCCAGTGGCAACAACACGTATCTAGAAAGCCCTCTTAGCTTTTAATTCACTTTTTGATACCAGAAATTCAATAGCAACACATAATGCTATATGCTGGGTGAAAGAATACACCAGCTGCCCCCTTCATTAAGTACACTTCATTGTATCTTCACTCTTTGTCCATTTTATCAGGTCCACTTGCCACGTAGGGTCATTTTGTCTAGTTTTACAGTTACAGACTGTCCATCTGTTTCTCTGCGTACTCTGTTAGCCCTCTAATAGGGCCGTCTGGGATTCTCTGCTTTCCGACTGCTACCGTGAGCCTATCTGGATTAAGCAGTTAAAGATGATGATGATATTAATAGGGGCTGACGCTAAGAGGGTACAAAAAAAGTACTGAACTGAACGGGTGCCAAAATATTCTGTGCAATTTGGATAAAATGCTGATGGTACAACATGTAAAAAAGCAAGGAAGCGACTAGATAATCCTAAGGATGTGGATGTATTCACAGGTTCAGGATTGTAGTTGTAGAAGGGATAAATCAATCTCTAGCCCTCTTCCAGCTGCTCTTAGGAGCTGTGAGGCCTCATTTGCATCAAACTCTGCTAAAGTCCTAAAAGACTGCCATTTGTGCCCAGGCATAGTTACAGTTGCTAAGCTACAACTGGATGGTTGGTGTTCAGGGGAGGAGTTTAGAGAAGGGTCAGTTCAGAGTGCCTTAGTAGGGTGGTGACCAGCACCATCATAGATGGTATTAGCTTTCCTAAAACACCTTTCAGAAAGTTCATTTACTGCGTCTGACTGTGGTGACCTTATAAACCCAATCTGTTTATAAGATATATATTTTTTTAAATATATACTTATCTTTTTTCCTCCCTCCACAGAGAGAAGCTGATAGCTGCCAACATGGCCAAAATGCCTAAGATGATTGCAGACTGGAGGAAGGAGAAGCAGGACATGAAGAGAAAGAAGAAGGAGGAGAAGGCCAAAAAGGAGCGGCTGCTGGCCGAGGCTCGGGAGCGTTTTGGTTATGCGCTGGACCCCCGCAGCCCCAAGTTCCTAGAGATGGTCGCTGAGATTGAGAAGGAGGAGAGAAAGAAGAGGAAGCTTCTGAAACGGAGAAAGAAAGAAGAGGAACAGGGGCTGGCTCCTTCAGTGCCCGCGGTGGCAGAATCCGCTTAGACACACTGGCTGAATCAAATACACTGACTTTTTTGTACATAGCAACATTAAAACGTGGCAATTTCTTCAGACCTTTTGAAAGACCCACCATTTCTTTCCCTTTCGTTGAATTAAACTGTTAAAACCAGAAAGTTGCACTGATTTCTATAATAAACTGAAATTCGTCAGGCCATAAATATATTATTTTACCTACTAGATACTTTAACCTATAGGCTTTTAAAGCAAAAACTGTAAAATGTCAGTAATTTAAGCCCATATGTGTTCAAGAAATCCATTCGACACAGCAACTGGAAGTAAGAGGGAGAGAAAAATCTTGTGCAGTTCAGTTCATTGTATAACTGTATTCATCATTGCTGATTTTCCCACATTGTGTTAGGATTTATTTAATCAATGCCATAAAGAAAATAGTTTAAGTTTTATAAAATGACAGGTAATTTCCAGTAATATTTCAGTTGTGGTTCAATTATGGCAGTGTGATGATAATAATAATAATCCTGACAGATACTGAGAACAAAAAACACAGACAGTGTTGCCCTATTTTTGGAATTTATAGGAATATTACGGCATGTAAACAAGTGCACCCCTTTAGTTACCATCATTAACAAATGAACTACTGCTCATCAGCTGCCTCAATTTACTTTTGTCTCTGCTTTATCACATTGGGACAGCAACAAATGGGCTTTGATTGTAAACTGCAAAAGCAGATTCTTTTTTTGAGTAAACTTCATTTTCGTGTTCACATTATTGTGTACATGACACAGCATGTTGTTGACACTGCTTTAAGCAGAAGCAGCGACAGTTAAATAATCCCATAACTTGATACATTCAGATACTCATTATTCTCTTTACAATATGCTGTTTTGTAAAGGTGGATCCATAAAGTGTCAGTTTTCCAGTAGATTTCCTCAATCAGTGATAAGACATAACCTTCAGATATTATGCAGCAAGAACCATTGGTTTTCACACAGAACCTAATTAAAATTACAGTACCTTATTAGCTCTAGATCACATAAATTAACCTGTGGTGTTGTATGCATTTTACAATGACAAAAATAGAAACATTATGAACTAACTAGTAAAGAAGAGGGCCACCATGGTGTTTACACAAGCTTTAGTCCTTCTTGGAATATTTTTTGAGTTCCTAGTGGGGAAATTTAGCCATTATTCAAGAGCATGCCACTTGTCTAAAGGCTTCCTTTGATTTCTTAGAAACAGATATGTCCTGAAGTGTCTTGACACCCTGAGTGAATTCAGCTACTTTTAGGTGCACTCATTGCTGACAAGTGTTCAATTGTGCACTCACGCTGTACGATATTCATAAAAAATATATTGACCAATAGAATGGGACGCTCTGGAGCAGCTGCATGTGAGCCTAAAGTCACCATGCGCAGTGCCAAGTCAGCTAGAGAGGGTTATAAAGCTTCCCCAGCAGTGGACTGTGGAGCTGTGTTCTTTGGAGTGATAAAGCTCTATCCAATACCTTTGGAGTTGGAGTGGCGTTTGAGATCCAGAACTAATCACTGAACATCAGTATCTGACTTCACTAATGCAAATCCTCACAGCAGTGTTCTGACATTTAGTGTAAAGCCTTCCCAGAAGAGTAGAAGCTGTTATTGCATTAAAGGGGGGACAAACTCACCATGAATACATTTGATTTCAGAAGAAAGGCTGGATGAGCAGGTGTCTATAAACCTTTGGACATATAGTGCATGTTAGCACACAGTAGTTTTGCAAATGACAGCTGGAAAAAAAAAAAACAGTTAAAGTCTGTGCTGTGTTCTCATGTGGCTTTGCAATCTCGATATGCTGAATTTAAAATTTCTATTAGAAGAAACTTGCTATCAAATTGAGATCTACCATTAATTGCTTTATATTTGGCTTTTTGTCACAAAAATTTTTTTATGTTACCTAACACCCATCAATATGCTGTGGAGAAAACAAATATTTTGTGAAAAATGGCTAGTAAGATGGCAGACTTCATCCACCTAAACCAAACAAAAAACTGCAATTTGAAAAGGCCATAAAATAACTCCTTTCCAAACATACTGACTGCAGCATCAGGCAGATGTTCTACCATTTAATACTCTTTTGAATGTTTAAGGTCCAACTCACAGGTGGCTCTTCTATTACTTGTCTCTAACCTTTTACCCTAAAATATACTCAACATGTGTTAGTAGGCTACAAGTATGGTGTCCCTCGTGATGCCCCCCCCAAGGTGGGTTGAGTTGGGCCAGGCCTGTTTATAAATAACCTTGCAGGGCAGTACTGAGGGATGAAACATTGCGGAAGATGAGTCACTTTGGTTTGCTAGTTGACTGAAAGGGTCAGTCCTAAACGAGGCACTTCAGCTGGGCTGTTACAGGACTGTTATTTCTTCCTGGTCGCTTGTGTCAGCCTTCAGTTTGGACAAGGCTGCATGGATTCTGAACTGAGTGCGGGACTCCATCGAGTATTCCTTGTAGTTATTCCTGAGAGGAGAACAAAAAAAATCATAATCAAAAAAATCTTTGAGGAACAACCGCATGCCAGTTAAGGCTGGCTATTAGGGACATAAAGCCTCCCTGCAACACACCAACTAATCTCACTTCGATTATAACTCTTTATGTTCTAATTTCCTGCAGAGTTTAGTTCCAACTGCATCTAACAAGATCTAACAAGCTGTCCTGCCCCTCATGATCCAGCCAATCAATGACTTCTGAAGAAGTTTATTAACTGGAGCAGGTGTGACAAATTGCAGTGGAAACTAGACTTCGAGGAAGGTAGATCCCCTGGACCAGAGTTGGTGATTACTTTCTTTCTTCAAAAATCCATTATTTTCCTGACCTACACTGTCAGAAAAAAGGGTACTGTCCATCATGGTTACAAGAGGTTTCTGGGCACAAGCTTCTTTAAAGCCCCTGTCCCCAAAACTCCCCTTGTTTATGTTCTCTGCGAACAATTTTGTAACAATATAATGGAAACAAACAAAATTGTTAATTATCAATTAATGTGCAACAGCTACTTTTCTTGCACAATTATATTTCTGCATATTTTTGGTTTTAGGGGCTTTTAATTATTTTAAATACAGAAGAAGGGTCTGGGTTAAGGGGCCTTTACTCCATTTACTTAGTGATTATGTGTACACAATTTTATATTCAGTCTCTTGAGCTCCGGCCTGGTCGGTATCTAGCCCTGATACTGTGCAGTTAAATTAAAGTTAAAAAGAGTGAAGACATACCCTTGATTGTACCATCCCTGTGACAGTGTTTTTTTCTGACAGTACTGGGAAATTTAGCTTATTCAGGAACAGACTGGACCTTTGCCATTTGCCTAAGGACTTCCTTTGATTTCTTCAAAAATACATTAGCATTTGCAAAAAACAGCAGGGGGGAAAAATTCACCTCGGTAAAAGTCTGTTCTATGTTCTCAGATGGGTTTATAATCACCCATGTTTCTGTGTTCAAAATTTCTTAGAGGAGAAACTGTCCCCTTAAGATCTAACATATAGATTGCTATCTGGGAGCAAATGGCCATGTGCCACCTAAGGCTGGCTATTAGGGACATACAGCCTCGCTGCATCACTATAACTATGGGTGTAAATTTGAACTCACAATGATTCAAGATGATTATGATATTTTATTTTGTTTATTTAAAATACACAACTTAAACTACTACTGACACTGTAGTGGAACTAAAGACATTAATAACCATAAACAAGCTTATTTTCTTTGGATGTTTACGTTTGCAAAGAGAACTTTATTTTGGCCAAAAAAATGAGTGCATGCTTCATTAAATATTATTATAATATGCTGTAATCAATTCTAGCCTTCCAAAATTGATGCAGTTGAATCACCACCTTCAGTTTCTTTTCACACCACTAACTATAATCTCTCAGGACTGTAATGAAGTGCCACAGCAGTGGAGAACGCATAAATAAAAAGGACCAATGAGTGCTGAATTGTAGGCTTCAGCTCCAGGCTCGGCTCTACTCACTTGGCTTTTTGCAGTAGTTTGATGGCTTGCTCCCTCCTCCCTGTGTCAACATAGAGCAGGCCCAGCTCCAGCAGAGAGTTAGGAATCAGGTAGTGGTCAAACTTCAGCTTCTTCTCACTGGTCCACGCAAACACAAACAGACACATTCAACGACCTGAATGAGAAATCACACCCTTTCATATGCCACCATATTTAACCATCTACATACACTACAATCCTTCATATGGGAAGAGTAACATATTACCCAGAGGGTGCAAATCATGGTGGTCATAAGAATAGCTCATATCTCTACAATGCTAACTTAATAGAAAAAAAAAAGGTCTTATCTGGCAAAGCCTGGTAAAAATCTGAACGCAATCATTTGCAATATTTCTAAGGGTCATCAATAGAATGACCGTTCACAGAATGTAAATAGCAGCTAACATTTTCAGGTGTTTTAAAAACGTACACAATACAAATTAATACAATGTTTTTGGACGATGGAAACAGAAGCCAGTTTACAGTACATAATGGGCTGGTTTCCTGGACATGGATTACACCTAGTCTTGTACTAAACTGCTCCAGCAATGAAGCACTGGCTTTTTAGTGTGGGTTTAAGCTTAGTCCAGGTCTGGGAGACTGGCCCCTCTGTTGAGCTATGTAACATAGCTCAAGATACTTTATGTGCACTGGGAATTTACTGTGAGCTATTTGATGTTTTTTTTAAAACATATTTTGCATTTGTGAGTAATAAAAATAATTAAACTACCCTGTCACAAGGTTCACTTTTATAGCCAAGCAAAGGTCCTTGTGTATAACTGTAACAGACAGTACGTTGCACTTGCCTGCTGTAAACTTTGTTGAAGCACTCCTCAGCAGGCTGCATACGGCCCTGGTTCTTCAGACACAAACCCTTCAGCAGCAGAATCAAGCAGCGGTCATCCAGTGTGTACTCATTGTCTTCAGGACACACACAGCATATTTATTTTACATGCCTGTCTCCTACTTGGCAAATCCATTAAAAACAATGAATCTTTTCATTTATCATGTTATGTAACTGAATTAATGTTGTCTAATAATAATGACATTAAAAATGACATTCAAAAGTCCGGGAATGGCTTTAGTTATGTAAAATATCAGCAAATGATCAGTTAGTTAACATCTCAGCTTGTTTTTAACAGTGTTTGGATTAGTGCTAGGTCTTAAATTGAGATTAAGGCTAGGATGACAATGAGTTTCAGGCTGGGGAGAAGTTAAGGTAATATTAATGGATGTTAGAGAAGCACCAATCAAGGAATTTTATGGTCATTTTTATGGCCAATTTTTTTACAGTTGAATTTCAAAAAAGGACATAGCCTGTTAAAGAGTGAATTATGTGCGCTTTAATGGGTCAAGCAGGCATTTTAAACTCAAGATTTAGATGGCTGAATTTAAAGAACATGAATCAAATAAAGCGCAACATCAGAAGTAAGAGATAACTGCCTATTTAGAGTCATGAATAATTATGCTACGACATTTTAGTACAGATGAAGCAGCAGCATTCAGCGTGAGTGCCCTTATCTGACTCACATTATTTACATCATAAATACGCAGCACAGAACAGTTAAAGAACAACAACAACAAGCAAAAATAAAACAATGCCAGTTTTGGTCTTGATCGGTTCCCAATATTAAAGGGAGTGCAAGTTACAGACAAGTTAAGCAACTAGAAAACATCTATAGTGGACTATCAAAATAAAATGTTACCAAATGCTAATGCAGATAATGATGGCTGCTAGTAATCTGTTTAAATTACATTTGCACATTCATAATACCTTTCATTTAGATTTGCTGATTTCTTTTTTTGGGCATGGAGTTTTCATGATGCTAATTGGTGGGGTATAAGCTTTCACTACTTGTTAGCTACATTAACTATGTAGCTCCAATAAAACTTAAGATGCAAACTTTGGACTGCAAACATATCTTGGCTTCTTTGTTTAGGGGAAGAGGAAAATTGTGTAAAAGATACTTTTTTTCACCATCTGTTCCATTATTTTCTTGAAAAAACATAGGCTGGTTTCCTGGACAATCAACATTGGAAATGCTTTTAGTGTCTAGGCTTAGGCTTAATCTGGATATGGGAAAACTTATGTTATTCAGATACTCAGCCATCTGCCCGAGTAATTCGTCAGAACACCTACTTAAAAGGGTGGTTTGTGGGGTCAATACCTGGTGCAGCCTGCAGGGTGCGCTCTGCCTCCAGCAGTGTTTCCAGAATGCCTTCCGTCAGCTCTGGACGCTTGCTGATCATTGAGAACCCATTCCACATATACATCATCTCCTGAAACATGCAGCACAATCTGTTATCGTATTTACTCAGCATAAAAAAAATCCTGTTAATATTTGATTTGGAGGTTTGATCAGAACGACTACAGTGTTTGTGCCTGTATAAGTGGCAATGTAATTTTCCTAGCATTTACAATGACTATTCAATAACATAAAACCAGTTTTGTTGGAGATCTATGTATAAAATTATTCTAATGTGATGGTAGTACACCATAACTTCATATGTAGGTATCAGCTAACCGAAAAATTTAATTTTAGATTCAGAATAAATCAACAGAACTTCAGATAAGTTCATAATCACTGAGAATGACGTTAGAATAAAGTACTGAACAAATCTCGGGGAAGATAACTCATCAAGAAATGACCATAAACAGTTACAGTATATTATTTGGTATTTAATATCTTTTTCTCCAAATGAAATTTGTAATATTGACGGAAGATATCTAAAATACCTACTTGTGCACATATTTTCAGATATGATAATTTTTTTTTTTTCATAGGTCAAGACTTGGGGGGGATGGGTTAGTGAGTGTATTGCATAAGCCCCACTCCCTCTTCCCCAACATTACTTCGATAGGATGCCTTCAGATACATAGTTTTGATCAGTTGTTGAGGTTTCCACTAAGAATGGCAAATAAGAGAATTTCAGAAGAGACCAAGGGGCGTATCGGTGATACAGGTTTAAACTTCAATTCGTTTTTTTTTTTTGATTTTTCAATACTGTATTGAAATTGTGTAAAGAAGGCCCAACAACGCCTGCATTTTCTAAAAGAGGCCGCGGAGTGACCGCTTATCTCCCAAAACACTTTCCAACTTCTACCACTGCACCACTGAGAGCATCTTAACCAGCTGTATCTGGGGATGGTAACTGCACATTAGCAGATCAGAAAGCCCTGCTGTGGGTCGCAAAGGCAGCCCAGCATATCGCTGGTACCCCCAGCTCCCAGCCAAAGACATCTAGCATAAACACTGTCTGTGCAGAGGTCTCAGCATCAGCAGAGACCCCACCCACCCCAACCACAGCCTGTTCCCCCTCCTGCCCTCTGGTAGGCGCTAAAGGTGTCTCGGAGCCCATACTTCCAGGCTCAGAAACAGCTGCTACCCACATGAACCTGACTATACACTGAACACTACTCCTTCACTTACACCAGCCCCCCCCACTACTACCACCATCAGATTTACAATGCCATTTACACAGCTCTATTATAAATATCTTATATTTATACTACCTCATTCAATGTAAACTTGTAGTAGAATAGCTTTATTATTACAATAGATTTTTACATTTGCACGGCTCTATTACAACTACACTGAAACATATTACCTCACTCAAAGTAAAGCATTTGGTAGTGTACATGGTGGTGTACATGGTAGTGTACATACAGTGGTGTGCAAAAGTTTGGGCACCCTGGTCAAATGAAATGTTTTGTTGATTTTCTAAATGAAAATTAGAAAAGCACACTTCTGCACATTTTAATGCACACTACTACAATACTGTTTATTTGCTGAATTTAACATATTAGAAAATAATAATGGCTTGTTATGGCACATTTAATATTTTATGTTTTATTTTTTATGATACATTATACTCAAAAAAAAATTATATGCAAAAAAAAAATTAAATTAGGCACTAAATTTAAAAAGTTTGTTCTTTGTAGAAGATGAGTTAACCTATTTTCACTTTCTGTATATGACTGTATAAGGGCTCAGCATCTTAAGTATGTTGATGTGTTTTGCTGCCTTACAAGCACGGGTACGGAGAGTCGCACGGGGTTGCTGGCTCTGTACCGTCGAGCTTTGCGGATGGCAAACTTCTCTGTGGGCGGAGACTTCCCTGCTATCTTCTGTTTGAAGGTTGGCACCTGTCTGAGAGAGAGAGAGAGGGAAAGGAGGAGGGAGAGAGTGAGAGAGACAAAGAGAGGAAATAAACCATTACACAAAACTGAAAGTCTGACGGCAGATGTCATTTTGTGTATAAAAACACTATGCAAAATGTTAGAAAGATACTGACATGGCAAGTCTTTATGGTGGCTGACAGTAGGGTGTGTAAGAGTGTTTACCTGAAGAGCTCCACCTCATCCTCTCCAAATGGCCTCGCCTCCCCCTCAGGCAGCATACTGAGATAAGCAGCCTTCATGTACACATACATAGCCTGAGAAAGACAGAAACAGATATGCAAGGTACCTTCTTTAGGTATTCATTTGAATGATTTGTGCTCAATGCATATCCATGTAAATATACTCCATAGAAGACAGCTGCTACTGTGATGCTAGAAAGTTTCTGAACCCTTTAGAATTCTCTAAATTTTTACAGAAATTTGATCATGAATATGATTAGATCTTCATGTAAGTCACAATAAGTATAGATAGAATAGATAAAGAGAACTCAGTAAAACAGTTTTTTTCTTCATTTAGTAAACAAAACGAGCCAATATTATTTTTTTTTTTTCCTGGCAAAAATATGGTAACCTCTGGAATCAGTTTAATATGAGGGATAATTAGAGTCAAGAGGTTCAACTAATTAGATGACAATCAAGTATAAGGATGACCCTGCCCTGTTTTGTAAAATATCAATCTGAGTCTTCACGATCAAAGTCTTCACCATATGCTTATGAGTGCATGTTAAGCATGTTAAGGCAATCTCAAAAAAAAAAAAAAGAAAAAGTTGTTTAAGCAATAATAAACCTTTATGGCCTGCATTCCAGTTAAGAACCTCATCTCAGCTGTGAAACATGTTGTTTTACTCCCATCAGACCAGGATCATTTGCAATAGTTTAATGAGACTACGAATTCTGGATTGTACCAGTAAAATACAGTAGAATATCAGGGCATCTGTCTATGACAACCCTAAACACACCAGTCAGTCCACCAGACAATGGCTGAAACAGAAGAAAATTTGCCTTTTGGAATGGCAGTCAAAGTCCAGACCTTAATCTAAGAAATGCTGTGGCAGGGTCTGAAGTGTGAAGCTCATGCAAGAAAACCCACCAACATAACTAAGTTGAAGGAAGTATGTAAGGAGAAATTTCTCCAAGTCAGTATGTGGGACTGATCAACAGTTACAGCAAAGTCAGTGCTGCTCAGGTGGAGTCACACCAGTTTCTGTAGGCAAAGATTCACATACTTTTGCCAACAAAGACATTACATACTGGATCACTTTATACAATAAATGTATAAAAAAAATTGTATAACTGTTTGTATTATATGGTCACTGATTAAATTGTAGTTTAGATTAATCAAAAATTAGAAAAATTCTAAAGGTTTCTCAAACTTTATAGTACCATTGTATGTTCACGCAGAAAACGCATTAGAGTATGGGTCACTTATATCTAATATAATACAGAAATAGCTTGGAAAAAAAACTAACACAAATTTCCCCTCACCCCACACGTGGCTAATCAGCAGATATGCTTAATATTAACACTGCTTTAATATTGAGTATTTTCACTGCATCATTGTATCATTTACAGAAGGAGGGCTGGCTGGCTGACCTTGGACCAGCGGCTCTCCTGGCTGAGCAGGTCGGCGTAGAAGTAGGCCATCTTCCAGTGCCTCTTGTAGGTGAAGCACCACATCAGCTCCCAGTAGCACATGTGGTGGAACTGTTTCCAGGCCTGCTGTGCCTTGCAGCCGTCCTCAAACAGCGCCACTGCCTGGACACACACAAGTTCTTTTTTGAGGGGAGCGTGGTTATTGTTGCTGTCCTTCATGGGACTTGAAATGAAAAAACACTTTTGTAAATGGTGTAGCCATCAAGCTAATAGGCTCCAAACCATGTCAAGCTTTTAAATAATTTAAAACAGACTTTCTTTTGTGTTTTCAACATAGAATGGCAGACTATTATTAATAAAAAGAAACAGAAGTACATAGATAGAAACTGTAGTAGCAACCATCCTAAAGTTTTGTATGCACTTCTGCCTATTTTGGAGAAAGTAAGTGTATTTTAACCAAGTGTAATAATGCAGGCACTAGAGCTGCAGCAACATTACCTCTAAAAATTGTTAGCTATCAATTATTTTTCAATTATTTGACAAATCTAATAATTATGTTCTTGTTTCAGTGAGAAGTAAATTTAAATATATGGCACACGAAACCTAAATTTTAAAATTCACCATACCAAATGATAAACAGCTTTTGTTCACTGAATCAAAAGTATGACTGAGTACAAAAAACCATACCTTTCCTGTTTTCTCGGTTATAGATTCTAATCATTTAGCCATTTCCTATTTTTGGCCCCATTCTCATGCGTCTCAGAGAGGTATGTCTAGACGCCTAGGCAACATCAGATACATCACTGGCAAAAGGTTTCTGCATTAAAATTTCAACTTTGTAATGCTGTTGTCTCAAAACCAGCCTAAAACAGATTTAACATCCTCTTCTGCCCCATGTCTACCCTCCATGGTAATACGAAGCCTCATCATTTTATTACTGAATTGCTACATCATTATGGGATTCCTCAACATCACCTCTCTTCCATTAGACAATCAGCTAACCTAATGTCACTAGGCTGACAAGAGCCATGTGTTAGAACTGTGATGCTATCACTTCATTTGTGCATCATTGTTGTGCTGCTGTGAAATGCTGCAGTCACTCTGCAGACTGTGCATTGCACAACGCCATGACTTTTGTGGGTCTTATTTTCTTGAGTTTATGTTCCTTTGCAGCTGCCATCATTTAGATTTCTGTCTCTGCCACAAATTAGTTGAATTTGGGAAACCACATTGTTCCTGTGTATACAGAGTGCATTGAAATCTGTCGGAATTAACACACATTAACATTATTTGAAGTTTTTTTTAAATGACACCAATAATTAAAATCTCCATTTTTTTTAAATAATCAATGTAATGATTTTATCCACTAAATCAATGCAGCCCTAGATTGCATAATGCTAACTGATGTACATAAGCTTCAATTATTTGTAATTTATACTTGCCTCATAGGTCCAGTACAAAGACAAAGAAGCAAACATGTCTCAGCTAATTAACTACATTCTGAGTACATTTTCGCCAAACTACTGCTGTAAAGTTCAGCTGCTGGTGTTCCATGATGGAGTTCAAACACAAAAAACTCGTAAACTTGTCCTGGGATATCAGCAAGGACACCAGCCTATATTACTTGCAGCTTTTAAAGGAGCAACATGTAAGATGACTCAACCTGTTGAATAACTCTTCCCTCTGTTTACTTACCAGTCTAGAAGAAATATTACAAGTTCAGCATCAAACTTTATCCCTTTACTTGCCAAGACCCGTCTCCAGCGGTGGAAAGCAACACCAGTCTCAACTCTTGTTTTGCTCTATTTGTGTCACTTTCTTCGTGGTTTCTTGCCCGGAGCAGGCATTGCTACTTCCTTGCATCCTCTAATGTCGGACTTGACACTACAGTGACTCACTATCGCCTTTTGAGGCACAAAGTGGTATCACAAGACAGGACAGGCCAAAGCTAGCTGGTTTGCATGCTAACTTCATTAGATATCTCTGCTACACAGTACACAGATGTCTTTGATATAACGTCAAAACTCATGTTTCTTCACATTCTGTTGAGAATTTCAGTTAATTATGGAGTGTTTTAAAAATGTTCTAAAAATCTTACAAACTGCTCCTTTAAATTTGCTCTAATGTTAAACAGCAGGGCTGCGGAGGTAATGCCGGTATATGCCATTTTTGGGTAATGGACCTGAAACGAATAGGTCCGTTTTCTTTGTAGGTATGACAATCTGTGTAATGAATGTAAAAAGCTCTAATCAACACAAAACGTGAAAACTGTGTGTGGGGGTTAAATTACAGTGATAATATTCCTGCCCCAATTCCCTACACACAGCCATTCCTGTTCACTCACCTCGTCAACATTGCCTTTTATCTCCTCCACTCTGCCTGCAAAGAACAGGAAAATAGCCCCCTGGAGAGGAGAGAGAGGGAAGGAAGAAGGGAGTTCCAAAAGTATTGCTAGAGTACTGTCACAGCTGTCCTATTTAAAATCTCTAAAAAGAGAGAGAGAGGGGGAGAGAGAGAGAGAGAGAGAGAGAGAGAGAGAGAGACAGAGAGAGAGAGAGAGAGAGAGAGAGAGAGAGACCTACACGTGGATACCGTAGCCGAAAAGGCTTCAGCAGTTTCTCAGCGTCAGCTACATCCCCCTCTCCTGTCCCTGCACAGAAAAGAACAGTACACATTCAAACTGAACTATAGTGCACACATTATTATTGTATTATTATTATAGAGAGTACATATTCTAATGAATTCCACTGGCAAATGCAAATAAACCAAGTAACCAGTGATGTGTTACATACAGCCTGCAAGATTGCTTCCAATTCCAGAGTATTTTTGCATGTATGCATTGCATTTGCACATGCAATGCTCATGTAATGTAGACTGGATCATAATTACTGTGTTCTACTTTGTTATTCTTCTTCTTATTATTTTTATTAGTGGTAGTAGTAGTAGTAGTTGTACTAGCAGTGGTAGCACTAATAGTTGTAGTAGTAACAGTAGCAGCAGCAGTAGCGCATTTATGTGATGTTTATTTTTTAATACTGAAGTGTTGCCAGGAGCTTTGCACATAATAACTTCACGTACCTTTTATACTGTGTTTATACTGTGATGTGGCAATAAATCCAATCTAATCTAACCTAATCTAATCATGTGTCGCAGGACTAGGGGAGGAGTGTGGCTGTTACCTAAAATAAAACAGAGGAAGGTGTAGTAGCAAAGCAGCAGCAGAGCACACAGCATAGAGCGCAGGTTATGGGATGTGGCCCCTTCGTACAGCTGAGAAAGTCCATATTCCTACACACACACACACACACACACACACACACACACACACACGTACAGTATTGTGCAAATGTCAGAGACAACCCTTCACTTATTTAATTTCCACTCAAAGCAGCCATTAAGTTCAGGTTATTTGTTTTTCAGGATGTATTTCTAAGGACATAAAATTTTAGACATGAAACAATCCACTTGCATAAGAAAAGGGAAAATAAGTGAAAAAATAAAGGTTTGGAGAACTGAAGTTGGAGATTACTAAAGGATATAGAAAATACAGGGAAATGGAACTCCTAACAACCAAGACCTGCTAGACCACCAAAACTGTCACCATCAGATAAACAGTACTTAAAGCTTTCATCTTTGAGAGAGAGGAGAAAATCAAGCTCCACTCAATTCAACGCTATGTGTCTAAAAGCATGTGTAGCCAAGAAGAAAAAGAAAACAAACAAACAAAAAAAACTACGACAGAAGTTTAGTTGTTAGGGCTCTTGTGTAATTTACTAGTAAATATGTTTTCTGCTTTCATTCCTGACTCTGAAAAAAATGAATAACTTGTACTTAATGGCTGTTTTGCCTGGAAGAAATAAAAACAGATCTTTGCCTTTTGCAAAGTATCCCTGGCCATATTATAAATGTGTTAACTTTTCAAGTGAAAACAAGTAAACAAATCTACAGCTAAATATTTTAAAAGCAACATTTTCAGCAACTGCATAGTTACTTTATGTTCTATTAACTTAAAAAGCAGAAAAAAATGAATAGTAATTGTGACACGTGCAACAGTTTGGACACATTTCCAGCTAAAAAGTCTCAGAACTTAACTGACTTGTAGGACCATAGTTGATTTATAGGACTAGTTAAGCAGGTCAAGAATTGTCAATAGGAAATGTCAGCTGATGACAGTTGCAGAGTGTAATAAACTCTGACCTTGTGCTAACACTCAACAACCATGGGCTCCTTTTTATGTAGCTGGCTAAAGTCAACTGATGCCTACAAACCATAGAAAACATATCCAAGAGCTTCCAGCTCGCAAGTTTCACTGTCTGAAATGTTATTAACAAATGGAGGTTAAGAGGAACTGTGGAAGTCAAGGCAAGATCTGGAAGACTAAAAACACTCTCAGCCAGGACTGCTCTTATGCGGTCCAAAAAAAAATTTTAGCTGACACAGGAGTGGTGGTGCATTGTTCTGCCTCTGCGGCATTGTTGCACAGACATGATCTGCATGGAGGAGTCATGAAATTTAGATGTTACAAAAAATCTACGTGAGCCAGAGTCATTTTGCAAACAAGTGCTGTGGACTAATGTAAAAATTGAACTCCTAGGCCACAATCACCAAATGTATGTTTGGAAAAAAAAGGAACAGCGTTTGATGAAAAGAACACCTTAACAAGTAAACATATTTACTTGTCAACTGTGGGTGGATCTATTATGCTTTGGGGTCGTGGGGCAGCCAGTGTCACAGAAAACATTGCATAGAAAGACTCCTAAAGGGCTACAAAAAGCTTCTGCAAGCTGTGATTTCAGCCAAAGGGGTTTGTTAGTAGGAACTGACTTAATAGGTGTCCAAACTTTTGCACATGCCGTAATTACTATTTTCATTTTTCCTTTATTCATGTTAAATGTTCCTGTGCATTAACCTTTGCAAGATTATTATTTTATTACATAGTTTGCTGCAGAGGTTGTGCACCTCAAAAACAACAACAACATATGTCATTTGGCCAGGAGTGTCCAAACTTTGGCATACAACTGAACATATACTCATAAGTGAGAGGAGATAACATACAAATATGCATCTGGACAACAATTCAAACGTAGAAGATCATATCTCAAAAAACATATTTAGTTTTTACTTTTTGCACAATGATTATCTCAAAAGCCACGGATGTCTTGCATTCAAAGTAAAGCCCAAACAAAGTTCTTTACCTTATCCCCAGAAAAGCCTGCAAACTCCAAAACTTTGAGTATCCGGGGAGGGAACAGAGAAAGTGTCTGCAAGATAACCATGGATGACAGCATGAGACAAACTGATGAACAAGTCAGATTAGCAGGTTTTCACTGAGTCACGTACAAACCATTATAGATGCTTGTGGAACATACCAAGTTGAAAGCACCGATTCCAAACGCTACCCCTCCTTCCAGGTGCTTGTGGTTTGGCCCTTTAAAAGAGCTGTGAGACCTAAAAAAGGAGTGGAGCTCCCTGCGTGTAAAATAACACTCAGGTTAGTCACAGCATGAGATTATTGCAGTCAATGATTGATCAGTGCAGTCTGGGCTTTTTGAATAGATGCCTATTAAAGGATGTTGATGCGGTTTTAAATGACCCTCAGTTTTCACATCATTGGAAATAAAATACTCTAACATAATGACATAGTTTGCATCTTGGACTAAATTGCAGTCAATATTGCTTTTCTACTTCCAGAAATGGCTATTCTTCCAATTACGTTTACATAAAAACCCTCCAATTTCCATCTCTGCTGCATAATTTTATGACACTGAAAAAGAAAAAAAGCTAAAGTTTCTCCTCCACTTACTCCTCTGCTCCCAGCACACCTGCTCCAGACTTACTTGTATATGAGGTAGCTGTTGCGTACTTTGATTCCTCCTTTGATGAAACTCACCATGTTTTCATCCTGTGAACAAAAGAACAGACCAGAGTTTGAAAAAATGAGATGCATCAAAATGTAAAGGATAATTATATCCTAAAACAAATATATCAATTTGTAATAATAAATAACATTAGTATATAAAATATACTAATATTATACTAATAACATATATATATATAAAATAAAGATAATTATTGTGATCAATTCAGTGTCTGTAGCACCCCCTCTGGTCCAACTTTGCTACAGGCACAAAAGACGTAGCTCATTAGAATTCAAATCTACATATATAAATATGTAAATATGTTATATGAATAGATATAAGCCAGTCATCCAATTTCACCGCCAAATGACGTTGGTCGCCTTCCACTATGCTGAAATATGAGTTTGAAATACAAACCTAATTCCAAAAAGTTCAGGATGTGAAATGCTAATAAAAACATAAAGCAGTAATTAATACATTCTGTTTTGCTTGTATTATTATTGCCTGTTTGCCTGAAAACGGTACAAAAACATAACATTTGATGTTTTCTCTAATGAACTTTATTGTCTTTTGTGAAATATAAGCTCCCTCTAAATTTGATTCCAGCAACACAGCATCATGTTTACCACTGTGTTAGACAATCGTTTGAAAACTGAAGACAAAAACTGACCCAGTTTTGAAAGCAAATTTTTTGCCATTCTTCTGTCATACAAGTCTTCATCTGCGCAACCATACAGGGTTTTTGTTGTCTTATTTTGAGCTTCATAAAACACACGTTTTCAATGGGAGACAGTTCTGAACTCTAGACAGGCCAGTCTAGCATCCACACTCTCCGATTATACAGGCATGCTGCTGTAATGTGCAGAATGTGGCTTAGTGTTGTCATGTTGAAATAAGCCTAGAAGTTCTCTGAAAAAGATGGGTGCCAAAAGGCAGAGTATGTTGCTCCAAAATGTGTTCAGCATTAATGGTGCTTTCGCAGATGTGCAAGTTACTCACTAATATGTCCCCCCACACCATGACAGACTCTGGTGTTTCTACAAACAATCTGAAAGGTTCTCTCGTCAGACCACAATACACATTTCCATGGTGCACCTATCCATTTCAGACTAGCTCGAGCCCAGAGAAATTGGCAGCATTTCTGAATGTTGTTGACATATGACTTCCACTGTGCATAGTATTTTCTGGATTCTGGATTTATATAGTATTTTCTGGATTCTTTGACTCTTTTGATGATATTATGCATTGTAGATAGAATACCTAAATCCTTGCAATCTCTGGTTGAAAAACAGTATTTTTAAACTGCTGCGGTTTTTGCTGATGCATTTTTGGCAAGTGGTGAGCCTTGACCCATCCTTGCTTATAATCCTTGATCATAAATAAACCAGGTTGTTGTCACTCTCCTACAAGGTTAGCTGTGTGAGAAACTGCCACAACAAATTACACAAACAATCTGAAAAAAGTGAGCCAATGTAATATGATTTTTTCACCTGTTTATACCAGAAATGACCATCGCTGCAATCAGGCTAATTCTTGTTAATACTAAGTTTAATACTAAATTCGACACCAGAGCGTGTTTTCCTCAGAGCTGTACTGTCTGCACAATCCACCTGTTTTAAAAGTCTACTCTTTACAAATGTTCACATCATGCTGCAGCTTGAGCTGCTGTTAATAACGATAAGATGAGCAACAGAATAGCGAAGATATGCATTTGATTTTTAGCCAAGCATCAGTGACCTGACTGCTTACATTCACAGTGACAAACCAATCATAAAGATGGAGATATCAAGTATGATGCATCACTATTATGATTTTTCTCCATTTTTTCTATTTTCATGGTAGCAAATGTCAGAGTAGCAGAGCACTTGCTTCCCTGCTAAATTGGTGTGGACTTTAGAAAACAACCTGGGTACAAAAACAGCCTAATGTTCTTCAGAGATATTAACTAGTAGAGTTTGCTATTTGAGGCTGAACCCAGTGAAGTGCAGGGTCAAAACCAACGCAGACACTGTTCATGAATGGATTTAGAGAGACATGCTATTAGCATGACATGAAAGGTAGTTTTAGTCAGTGGCCTAATTCCCTTTTATTTCTCAGCTAGCCATTTTTTTGGAGGTGTGGCACCACCCCTGTGTGTTGTCACTCTTTAAGTCTTTTCTGATGGTCTAGTTTGCCATCTTTCATGGACACCACTGTCAGTGATCAAGGCTCTTATCACAGAAAAGAGGCTGCAGGAGAAGGGGCTTATATGTTCACAAGACAATTCATGCAAGCCGGTGTCGGGTCTTAAGTCATTGGGGTCTGAGTGTCGACTCTCTGATGCATGAGTCTGAGCTGATTCTCAAGTTTTAGTAAAGCATTTTAGTTTAGTCTCGTTATTAACTGCAGGCATTGGACTGTACAAAAGTAAGCCTAATTAAAATCTGTCAGGCCCCACACAGCTTTAAATAACCAGCCTTTCATTATAGAAAACCTTTCTCTCTGACGTACCGAACTGCTCTACACACATTAATAAGGCGTTTTAAGATAAGAGACAACACTTAATTTTGGTCGGTTGGTCTGTAGTTCATATAGTACATAAGCTAGCTAGCAAGTTTTAAAGGAATGTAATCCGTAACTTCAGCTAGCGTAGTTGACAACTACAGCTAGTGTGCTAGCCAGCACACTTGATACCCAAAATATGCCAGCTAACAGTTTTTCCTCTTTCCTTAAATACTGTCTTCACTATGTAGTGTTTCAATTCTGTCCATCAGACTGAAAGGTTTCTTGCAATGAATAGCTTGTTATTTGAGTGAAGTAGTGATTTGTTTTATCTGACAAGTCCCCGTTTCTGGGGTAAATAACATTTCAGTATTTACCGCTGTTAAAGGAGACACACAACTTATGCACAAGTTGTTGTGCTTTATTAAAGGTTGCAGTTGGCCTCAGCCACATCACACAGAAAGCAAGGCTAACAGCTAGCTCTAGCATTAGCTCAGCTCTGCACTCACTTGCATTCAAGTTCTGACTGACTAGTTCTTCCTGCTGTATGGGCATAAACACAAAAGCAGCTAATCCCGCCTTCACAATAGAAGTCTTTGTCATGACGTACATTTCTTGAGCATACTGTAATATAAACACATCCTTTCTGAAGTTGCTTACAAACTCTAGAGGTTAACTCTAATGGTCGCAATCGGCCTTATTTTGTTACAGGGCACTGCACACAGTGAAAAAGTTCTGATTGAGAACTATTGGATAAAAAATTATATTTTTAAAATATAAAAGAGCAGATTTACCAAAAGAGGTGGAAATTACTGACCGTCTATTGACACTTTGCATTTATGGGGTTGGCAATTAAGTGGGTTATCTATAAAAAAAAACTTCCATGCAAATGAACAAAGGCACCACTTCATAGTTAGCTTGCAAACAGCACAATATAACATGAGTCTGGCTCGCATGCTTTTTATATGAAAGCTCGTTTACACCAGATAGAAAAAGTTACAGGTTCAACCTCTGACCCATCAGGTTGAAATAATTACTCCTTTTCTCAATATTTTGATGTAGTATGTCAGAATAACGACTAACTTGAAAATGATTAATTATTACTTGCCAGACAAGAAAATAATGAAGTAAAGAGCAGCTTTAGTAAAGCAGGGATTGCAGAGCCAAATATTTTCAAGACCAATTTTTCCTAACTTTTACCATCGACCAGCAGTAAAATAAACTGGATGATGATTTTGGTCATAATAAACAACTGACACTGCTAAAGCTCTCCTCTGACAATCATCCTTTTTCACCTATAACACTATCACCATGGCAACCACTGCGCTGCTTCATGCCGCTGTTGGTCACGTACCGCTATGAGGCATAGAATGACGTTTTTCTTAATTGCAAACATGTGAATGCAGCATTAGAGTTGAAAATCGCATCAAACCTAACAATATGTGTATCGCATATTGTATTATATACATATATAACATATATGTATTACACCTCTAAAAGCAATCAGTTCTTCAATCCTGTGATTTACTACTAAGGATGAGATGTTATATTATATAGTCTGGATATTCTCCCCAAGTCTATGAAACATAAAAAGAAAGCACAATTTCTGTGTTATGAATTAGATTGAACAGAGACAGTAATGAGCGTGTGGGAAGATGAGTGTAGGTGTTTGTGTCAGTATTATAAGTGTGTGTTATATGGCTGTTTATGTACATGAGGCTTAAAATCTGTGCCCAACCTGTAAAAACGTGAGAGCGGCTCGTTGTAGCAAGCACTCAGCATAACACGCCTCAGCATGGAGCTCCTCTATAAACAAACGCACACACATAAAATGAGAAAGCAACATTCAAAGCTCCTCATAAAAAAAGCACTTACTTTGTAAAGAAAACGAAAGAAGAAATGCTTTTTTTCACATAAATATTACACAATAGCAAAGTATGATATTCATCACCTATTATGACATTTCCCATATTCCCCAAAAAAAAAAAAAACATTATGGCTTCTATCAACACATTTTACCTTCAGTGAGCTCATCTCCTGCTGCTCTGCTTGCCAGACTACCAGACCTCTTACGAAACCTGTGGAGTAGCAGAGGAGAGCACTCAAATTCTCATTATCCATTATCTCCGCACACACACACACACACACACACACACACACACACACACACACACACACACACACACATAATGTAGATATAGAGATGACAAGAGCCAAGGTCCACATTTGTCAGGCCTCTCAAAGGAGCAGAACTGATCTAGATTTAGTTCCATACAACTGCAAATTGCATACATTCACATAACTGAATATGAGAGGATACAAAAAGCAAAAACTGATCTCAGGGTAGCACTCTTGCCCTTCGGCTTTCAAACTGCTTTGCAATATATTAGTGCAAACAGACTGTAAATGTTGATTAAATGAAGCAGGAATAAAACAGTTCAGTACTTCACTAATCCTGAAGAACTGAAGTAGTACTTGCTGAGAGCACAGACAGCACACATGCTACTCTAACCCAGAGCCTCTCTCTGACCACAAGGCAAAATTACAGTCGAATACGCAGCCTGTTATCAGGCATGATCAGCTGTCCACCATTTAAAGCTATTGAGACAGGCCTGTGCTTCATGCCCCATGCAAACACAAGGCAAATCACCTAGCAGCACAGTGCCTCGGCTCACATGGAACCAGCTCCATTTGCCTAAAGGTCACAAGGTCTTGGCGAGAGGTCTAAATAGGACTATAAAAGTGTGTGTGTATTCAGGGGTGGGGAAGTCTGGGCTGCACAAGATGAACAAAATATCATATTGCATTAATGCTGCGAGATATTGGCATATTAATATGGCTTGAAATATAAAGTAAAAGCCCCAATAAGCCCACCTAAATCTAATTAAATGTATTGTTCTTATGGTTTTTACAGTTTTTAGTGATATCAACTAATGAAAAATCCAAAGCAAGGGACAAAAGATGAAATGTATGTTGATGTTTAGTGTACAGCTGCCCAAAGTGTAGGCCACGAGTCAAGGATGGTCTGTGAGGCTTGTCAGAAAGCCCACCCCCTCACCCAATCAGAGCACAGATTTTTGTACTTTGTATAAAACTTGGACTAGAATTAAATTCTCATTTTCCTTTTAAAATTGTATTTTCAAGTGTTTTAATACCAAAAAAGAGGATAATGCTAAAAAAAGTACATTTGAAACTTACCTACTAGGGATGCAACATACAACATATGGTGTTATATTGAACCACGTCACATATGGTATCACATTATATCGTTTTATTGTGACTAGCTTTTCGCTATAGTGTTAGCTTAAGGTTAATATATTAGCTTGTGTCTGGAGCACTGAAATTGGGAACTATTTAGCACAACTTTTGCTGTATTGAAAAATGTATTAAATTGTGGCACCCTCGTTTCGTATCAAATCTGAATTCTAATACCTACCTTCTTTATTTCTTTCATATTTTATCTTTTTGGCCCTTGGCCCACTACAAAGATTGCACTTGGCTAGCCAAGACAAAAAGTTTGGGGACCACAGGTTTAGTGGACGGGATGCACCGATTTTTTTTTTACACTTAAATTTTTTTAAATAATAAAAAAAAAAAAAATCACAATAAAAACACAATAAAAGTGCAAATGGGCTTATAGGTTACATGCTATTGCTGGGGGCTTCTCTCCTATTAAAAACTACTGGCATTCTGTTGACCAAGTTTATTTTGTTCATTCCATTTGTTCCAAATTAATTTCAGATTTTTTTGCAATTACTTAACTGAACGTAATTATTGATATGTGAATGACAATTGAAAAAATACAAAATGTTAAATTTACCTTCAATACACTATCAAAGACTAATAGCAGTTGCATGATAATGCATATTTTAAATTCTCCTACTGGTCCCTCTTACAGTAAGAAACAGGGCCTGATATATATACATTTTGTTTGATGGTGCCAGTCTGACTCATAACACACAGCAGAACACTGATTTATTAGAGGCGCATTGTGCTGCAACCTTCTCCAATATCAGTACTGTAATGGTCAATAATAAAATCATGATCAACAAACGATACTTCATGCAGCCCCAGTGTGTGTGTGGGTGGGTGTGTGTCTGTACCTCTGGCACACCTCCTGAGCGCTCTTCATCGTATTTCCAGCGCTGACGAGGTCCTCATGTTGGAAGGTCATCATGGCCTGCATCTCTAACACTGTCGCATAGATCAGAGCATGATACATGCTCTCTTTAGACCTGCAACATTACATGACACACCATTAAACATGCACACATTCACCCCACACACTCAAGGTTCTCAGATATACACACACTACAGGAAACCCTGACATGAGAAACCCTGACCTAGCTAAAGATGCAAATTACACCGAGAGCCAGTTGGCGTTCTCCGCTCTAGACTGGCACCCACTGAACACACATGGCTTTTGGAGTAGCTGAGTCAGCTCTGGTCACAAGCCAGGCTGGAACTGGCAATGCACTCCCTTAATCATCTCAGTTCAAGGTAACATGAAATCATCCCAGTGCTCCACCCTGTTCCTTTCTACCTTATATACAGACAACTTAGCCTTATATCAGACACTGATACCAATTTTAAGGATCTGTAAATAAAGATGACTGCTGTCAGCCGATATAATCTTAGTCAGTCAAAAATTAAACAGAATCCAATAGTTTTAGTTAAAGAGTACATCCATACTTGATTTCTGCTGGCCTCCACCCTCTCAGCATGTTTGAAAATGCACATTAGGCCATGCATTGCAAAGAAGTGTGCAAAGACAGGATGTAGCGACTGTTGAGCGGGGATATTTAGCATTTTCCAAAAAACTAGCAAAACAACATAGATTAACCCCCAAAACAAGAAAAAAAAAAAATCACATCTCTCAACAGTGTTGGGCAAGCTAAATAAGAACATGTAGCAAGTTAAGCTACCAGAAAACTACCTGCAAATTAAATCATTTTAACTACAGATAGCATGATAACACTCTTCCGATACCGATATCGCTACTGAAGCTTTGAGTATCGGACAATACAGACAAAGATCTGATTTTTTTTTCTTTAAAAAAACTACTTAGCTTTAGAACGAGCTATTCCTTCTACCCCACAGGACGAAATACACAGCAAATTACATCACATCACACAATGCGAGTGTGTGCTAATGCTAGATTTGTTCCAAGATTTAATTAGGGATGTGGGAAGGTGTTTTAAGTTGATGTTATGCAAATTATTTGCCTTTTTTCCATTTGAATTTTTTTAACTTTACATCAACCAGAATGTGTCATATTGCTTTATATGACAAAAATGGAGATACAGCGATGATATACATATGTTTGAACCTGTGTGTTCGTAGATCTGCTGATAGGGTTGCCTGAATAATGCGATTGCGTATTTACAGCTGACTAATACTTTGTCATGGTGAAGACTGTCTCATGGTGAAGAAGGTTATGCTGAGGGAAGGGTGGCTTTGTTTCTTGTGAGAAGGGTGGGGTGTGATAATAAGGAGCCTAGGTTTAAGTTTAAAAAAGAAAAAAAAAATGGAGGAAAATGTAATGGATGTAACATGCAGTGTGAAATAAAAAAGCACTGCCAATAAAATAGAACAGGACACTCTTGAGCAGCCGCACTTGAGTCTGAGGTCACCATGCCCCGTGGAGTGTGATGGAGCACCAATCAACACCGGGATGAGCTGAAGTGGTGTGAATGATCTAGAACTAACCATTCAATATCAATAACTAACCTCACTAACGCTCTTGTGGTTGAATGCAATCAAATCCTCACAGCAATGTTCCAACAACGTTCCTAGTGAAAAGTCAGACACATAGTGGCAGTTTCACATGCCCCAGATTAAGCCTAAATGTAGATTAAAATGAATTCTCAATGGCAATTCACCACTGGCACCGCAATTTAGGCTTAATCCAGGTCAGGGAAACAGGTTAATGTCCGGGACCCTCTAAACCCGGATGTACTCAGACAAAGAAATCAAGCTCTTCTCTTTCAGAAGACCTTCTTCATCAGCAACAAACAAGCCTGACAATGCCTAATTTTTGGTTGGAAAACCCTCTAAGTTTTCCTAGTTTCCTGCTTTATGCCACCTCTCGCACTCATTCATGCGTGAATGTAAGTGAATGTGTGCATGCGTCTTTGGGTGTGCGCTTAGGTAAATACCTCACATCCTGGTCAAGGGAGTTTAGCATGACGCACATGAGCAAACAGATACAGAAACATTTCAGCACACTGATGTTAGAAAGCTGTCTAGAGCTAAAGATAATACCAGTTACTACAGAAACCGTTTTAGCCATTTAAAGATCCACACACCATTTACTAGCACTGATACAGAAGCAGCTCTACAGTAACCGCACCTTAAGCAAACATTACGTCTTGCTCTCCAAGTCACCTTTGCCTGTGACAAAGTCAAATGATTCCTGTATCAAGGTCAGCTGCAGCATCATGCTTAAGTCAGATGTTGAAGGTGAGCAGATTTTCGTTTGTGAATGTAAATGAGAAGAAGAGCAAAGCAGACAGACAGGTAGAACTACTTGCTCTCACCGTGGCTGCAGTTTGTCCAGACTCTCGTTGAAGTGGTTGTTGAGAAACAGATCCAAGGCCTCCATGCATTCCTCGAGGCATGTCCGTAAGGAAGTCTGTGTGGAGCTGTAATGAGACGTAGACACACATACAAAGAGTATAAAAAGATCATGATACTCACATTAGGGTGCGACCGATACACCATTTGGCAAATAAAATCTGATATTAGGATCATTCTCACAAAACAGCCTCAAACCATTTATGTCCATAAATGTTTGAATGTCAATCATCACACAGATAAATAACATTTGTATGATTTAGTAGATCAACTGGAGCTTTATATGGCATACCAAAAAACAAAATTCTTAATTCTTCTATTTTATAGGGTTTTTTTTTTTGGCATATTATACCTTAATTCTTCTTACCACAATGTGTCCCCCATATCATTTTCTCATTACCGGTATTTATCACATTTTTTTATTATAAAAGTGATTAAAAAATTAAAAATGTATTATTTTTAACTGATTCTCTTTACTCTCATGTTTCCCTTGCAAATTCTAAGTAGGTAAATCAAAGCAAAAAAAAAAATGTTACCAATGAGAACAAAATAAAAAGAAAAAACCTCAATAGCTGTCAATGTTTTGCAGTAATGAGGCAAAATACTAAAATAAATTCTTGGCTAGTGAAATCATCTTAAGTCTAGCCAATGTGTCTAATACTTCTCATTCTGAGACTGTTGGAAGAATATTGTAAAGATTTCAAGTTTCACTTGTTTTTTTAAAATTGTTCTATTAACTGAATCTTATTCTGTCGGTAGATAATTTTGCTTTTCTAGCATTATTGCTTGAAATAACCAAATGATCTGCCAATAGAATAAGTTACTTTCTCTGGATAAAATGACTTAAAACAATTAAAAAAAAACATATAGTAAGTAATATTAAAAGTTGAATTATGTTTGCATATCCTTACAACAATCCCAGAACGATAGATTTTACATATAAGGATAAGATTCAGGATGTTTTCACTGATCAACATCTTTTGCAGTGTACTGCTTCTGGAGTCTGTTTAAATTTTGTTTGTGTTTAATCAATTACTGGAATTTACAGCTCATTAAAATTAGCTGTGGCAAATTGTCATATTGGTCAGGCCCTATATTATAAACATCATATACAGAAGAATGTTAGAGAAAATGAAGACAAACAGAGCATAAGTAAAGGATAAAAAATTAATCAGCAACTTCTTAGCCTTTGAAACACTGGCCTTTATTAATTATGAATCATCCCTTATGACACAGTATAGCCTGGCGGGTGCTATAAAAAGCCAAACCATTAACTGTGTATTAGCAGATCTAGTGTTAATTAACACAGCAAATGTAGATATGTTCATAACATTCAATTAATTATTACAGAGAGGAATTTATGAACATCATACAACATGCAAAAGACACTTGCTGGCCATTTTACTCAAAACACTGACTTTTTAGGCCCACCTTAGAGCTTCTGGGCCAAAGTGCTACAGAGATGTGTTCACCCTAAATTCAGTTCATGAAAGCCTTGCTATTTAACTGCTGAGCTGAAACAGGTGTGTTTAATGAGGCAGTGTGCTAAAGTCTGCAGTGTTTTGGGCCGTGAGGACTGGAGCCTGACACACGTGCTGTTGCACAACTGTTGTCATGTACAATTTAATAACAACTTATTCATTTTCAATGTCAGGGAAAAAGTAGGCAGTTTTAAGAATTGGTTACATTTCCTGCATCTCACGATTCAAGTCAACTCAAACACATTTAGTTGATGTTGAGGTCTGGACTCTGGGGTGGTCAGTCCATTGTTCTGTGAACACCAGCAGTTTCTATGATTGATTTGCAAATTTTCTTCTGTGTTGTCTGTTTTCTGCGGAGCCCCGGAGGGGACAAAGGTAAAAAAATAATAATTCATTCGAGTGAACGTTTTGCAGTTTTCTTTTATTTGTGATCATGATTTCTTAAATCGTTCCCTCGTTTTCTTTTAATTGTGTACATGTTTTCTTTACTTCGTGGGTATGTTTTTTTTTATGCATGATCACGATTTCCTAATTTGTTCTCTTGTTTCCTTTTAATCATGTTCACGTTTTAATTTTAATTGAATGCACATTGTTTTTTTTTTTTTATACTCGTGCACAAAATTTATGTAGTAGATACAGGTCGTGTTATTTGTCCTGTGCAGACAGGTTTTGATCAGTTAGACTGATAAGATAAAGGACAGAGATGCTCATTGGGTCTGATTTTGATTTGGGGGGGTTACGAGGACATTGTAGCTCCTATTCATAGCAAACGGCCCACAGATTCATCAGTGCAGCTGCAGTTTGATGGTGAAATGAAGGAAGACAATAAACTACAAGGCCCTATATTATAAACGAAGTGCAAAATGTTCACTCAAATTATTTTTTTTTTTTTTACCTCCGTCCCCTCCGGGGCTCCTAGTTTTCTTTTCTCAGTAACTGCTTCTTGATGGCTACACATCCTTTTGGACTTTTGGAGTGTTGAGTTCTCTTCTCACAGTGGAAGGATGGACAGAAACACTTGTGGATTTTTTTAGATCTAAAGCAAGAGCAGAGCTTGATTTTTTTTCTCCTCTCTCTCAAAGATGAAAGCTTTAAGTGCTGTTTATCTGATGTAGACAGTTTTTTTGGTCTATCAGGTCTTTCACAATTGTTAGGAGCTCTTTTTTCTCGATATCTTTTATTATTTTTTTTTTTAACTCCAAGTTTGAAAACATTTGTTTTTTCGCTTATTTTCCTGTGACTTTCCACTTTTTCCAAATGCAAATGTATTACATTATATCAAATCTCTGAAATACCTAATGAAAAATAAATAAAATAAAAAAAACTTCTACTGAAGAGCAGTTCTCACTGGACATTAAATAAACGAAGGATAGTCTCCAACACTGGCACAGGACTGTACCCAGTTCTTGTCACAGAGCGCCTCTTGCCAGGAAACATTTAGGCGCTGGACGATCCTTCACCAAGCAGTGACACCACCATGCTCGATAAACTTGTACCAGGGCCACATACACCACCATGCTTCTACCATGTCAGCATCAATGCTGTGTTGAGAATGGCCCAATACCTGGCCATAATCAGTCTGGTGGTCAGAAACTGACCAATAATGAATGAGGGAGAGGGTGGCTGACAAACTGTGCAGAACAACAGAAGGGCTACAGTCTGTAACACATCTATACAGTGGACCTCTTAGGTGTGAGAAACTCAAAGTGTCCTGTGAGTGGAAGTATACAGCAGGCATGCCTAATAAAGGGGACAGTGAATAAAAACACACTTGGTCTTAAGGACCCAAAAGAGCGTCAGTCTTGACCAGTCTTAATTGTAAACCGTTATAAATGAAAGTATCTTCGCCAGCTACTTTACCACAGACACACATACACTGCTGGGAACTGTTGGGAAATCTGTCACATGGAGAACTTTGGGCAACGTCACCCAGCTGAGGCATACACACACTCACACTGTAAGGTGTCTCATGTTTGCTCTGAGTAACTAGCCTACAGTCCATGACAAATTATTACTCAGGTGCTCACATGAATAATGCCAGATAGCTGCCATCACTATGCAGCTACCCTGAGAACTTTAGAAGATTTACTGTTCTCACAACATACAGCTACATGGTACAGGCCGTTTTAAACAGGGGTCTTTGATATGGGACAAAGATAATATCACAATACACAAGATTTAGCTGCCCTGAGATTGTATAAGTTGGAACAGACAGAATGCGCCAGCCATGCCACAATGTATGTACAATGATTTTTATATAACGGTTCACATACTGCATTTCACTAAATCCAGTTAAACAGAACCAACTGTGCTCTCTTTGTAATGTAACATGCAGTTGGTCAGTGTTCTTCAGGTCAGCTTTTCTCAAACTGGGGGCTGCTAAGGGGACTGCAGAGAAATCTTTGAAGTTGTATCAAAACTTAGTACGTTTTAATGTTGTCACTTTATTAAATCTGATTAAGCCATATCTAAAATTGTGGAACTAGTTTAAAAATCCCAGATATTATTAAACATTATTAAAATGAAGTTATTTGTAACATCATAGAACAGGGCCATGTCTTTACAAGCAAGTCAGCGATAACTAGAAAAATGGACCGGAATCTTGTCAATGTCCTTATTCATTAAGTGAGCATGATGACCAGGAACCAGGGGGTGGGAGATTGAAGGGAAGGCAGAAGGGGGCACTGTGGTACTTACTATCCACAAAAGGGGGGCTTAGACTAAAACCATCTGAGATCCACTGTACTGACCTAAGTACAGGCAATGCCCACAATAAACTTCTTAGCTCCACAATGCTAGCTTTGCAGGAGAAGCAAAGCACACTCAACTTCTATTTGAAGCTAACACAGCAGTTATTTATTGCAGTGGTTCTCAAACAGGTCCTCAGGAAACCCAAAGATGGTTCAGATTTTTGCTCCAACCTGAATCACAACACATAAGGATAAGGCAAAATTCTGGACTGTCTGGGGGTCCCTGAGGACTAGTTTGAGAACCACTGATTTACTGCAGTATTGGTCCATTCTTTAGGAAATTTTAACACAAGGTAAAGGGTCGTTGCTGTTTTCTAATTATGTCAAAAAACGAAAAATGGCAAAAACAAAATTAGAGATGTGAGGTTTTGTCCGAACAGCAGAAGTGGAAAATTCAGGTCCAGAAAGTAAAAATCCTCCCCAGGGTTTTGTTCCAATTCACTGCCTTCTCTCATTAACTCGAACCAGCAGCACATGTGTCCGGGCAGTGGGAACAAAATCCTGGAGAATTTTTACTTTCTGCACCGGAACTTTCCACCTCTGCCCCACAGCCACGACACACTGAGAAAAGCGCGTTGTGACGCAATGTGACGTAATTTATCATGACAGTAATAAATATCGTCATATTGCTGCCCCCATTTTAAAATCCATTCCACAGTGTGACCCCCACTCTCAGTTACAGAAACTAGCTCCACACAAGACATTACACAACGAGGAAGGAAGAGGGAGAGAGAGAGAGAGAGAGAGAGAGAGAGAGAGAGAGAGAGAGAGAGAGAGAGAGATGTGAAAACAAACACTAAACTGAACAAGCTGCAAGTTTTACCGCAAACTGAATCAGCTAATTTGGCTGAGAACTAAACTGCAGCTCTGTCAGTGTGAAGTTAAATTAGCTCGACAGCAGCCTAGCTAACCCGCTTTTCCACACTTTTCAGAAACTAAAGTCAACAGTGGGCCCCTTTGTTGTGTTACTGTTACATGTTTAAATCTTACGGTAGGACCCGTAAACATCAACAGGCTGTATTTCTCCCATTATAAAGGCTTACTACAGCAAACATCTAGTCAGTTAACGCTCCGATTAGCGCGTGGGAAGGATGAAGCGAAGCAGCTGCTGCTCGAGGCCACTTACTTGGCGGTCCCAGGTGTGTCTTTCCCGTTGGACATGATTTTCTCCCTCCGTGCCGTGTGTGTGTGTGTGTGTGTGTGTGTGTGTGTCCAGCCGAACACCTGTCAGAAAGGAGTGTCGCTCTCCAAACCGCGGATGCCTTCAGAGAACGGGGCTGGCGATGATTCCCGTGGACAAACAAACGAGGCGCATTGAGTTTGAGGGGTTTTCTCGACGACTACAGAGCGAACTACTTGGACGATGAAGAGGAGGAGGAAGAAGAAGGTGTGGACTGGTGTGTGTCCAGCGGGGCTTGTCCAGTGACTGCTCAAGCTGCTGTCGTCGTTTCTCCGGGAACAGAAAAAGAAAAGGTCTTTGGCTCCTCCTCGGCGTCGCCGGCGTTTGGTTTTCTGCCACGAACTTGCGAGGATGTGGACAGGATGTTGGCTTAAACATCACCACCACCACCACCTAGCGTACGAGGCTTCACGGCTTCGGTGCTAGCATTTTAACCCCCCAGCGTGTCTTCATGGCTCACCGTGAGGAAAGCGCCTCTAGAGGGCTAAAGGGGGGGATAAAGTGTTAACTGTAGGTGTTTTACTCGGTAGAATGACCAGCCGTCGTCGTTTTCTTTTTCTTCTCAAAGGCCATTTTTATTAAAAGTCTGGTCAGTTAAGTCTGTTGTGTTGTAAACGGACTCGTAATACGCAAGAGGACTGAAAGAATGTAGCTACATCCCCAAAAGTAAACACAACGTTTCTCCCAGTTCTTTATCACTTCTTTCAACATCCCTGCCTTTGTCATTTATCTCACTTGTCGTGGGTTTAATGACTTTAATAATTGTTCACTTCTTGGCATGCTCTTGTGCACTTCTGGAGACATCTGTAGTGGAATAATGTGTTAATTCTTTAACAGCATTGTGAAGGGCAGTTGGGTGCAGGAGATGATGATTGCAGGCTTCCTGTAGCTTTTTAAAAGAAACATTCTTCACCCATTCAGAGTAAAGACTGGTGGAAAAAGATCAGAAGAAGTGGAGAAGTAGGGAGCCAAAATATACTTAAAGGAAAAAAGATCTGCATTTAAACTGCGTTTGCATTTACTTTTATACACTTAAGTATATAAAAGTAAAAAGGTAATTGTTTAAATATAATAACGAAGTATGAATCCCAAATATTTTCCACCCCTGGTAAAAAAAGGACATATTAGATTTCTTACACTGCCCACACTGGTATTCATTTTCTTTTCTTTATGGCTTTGGCTGTAATTGTGTGTTTTTTTAGGCCTTTCAATGTCAGTATGCATCAAATTTCAAGAACTGTTCCTCATTTCCTGGTTTGAAATGTGCTGCCACTGCATACAATAACAAATTGAAATTCCTTTGCTGTTTCATTGACCGGCACACACCCACAACATGGCTATTAACCTTTTAAATGGTTTTGTTAAAGTGTGTTTCTTTCGCAAACCAAAAAGCTCTCCAAGAAATGCCTCCTTTAGTACAAATGTTTTAGTATTATGATAAACAAGAACTTTTTTAAATGTTGGTTTTGTATTTCATTACTCATTCAAAATGAAACAAAAATGTATTCCAGATCGGTTTTGCTTGGTCAGTGAGTAACAATGAGACCAACACAATAGTAGATATCTGAGAAACCTGCTTGATCTGAAACTCTAAACTCTGGATAAAGTTGAAGATTCCATGTAGTCAGCTCTAGCAGCGACTGTACGTAAGATTTTTTCATGGTTTGTATGCTTGTGTGCTTTTTCCAGATATTTGTCAGTTTACTTTAACTTGATTATGATTTGGTTTTGAACTAAATAATGTACTTTTAGTGGCTGTATCCAATTAGTTACAGTTTGCTGCACATCTTTAAAGTAGAATTTCACTGATTTTTTCAGAAACAAAAATGCACAGGTAAATAGTTAAGATGTAAACAAAGTTTTGGCAACATTTTGGCAAGTGAAATCTTAAATCTAGTCAATATATCTAATATGTTTCATTGAAATTGTTACAAGAATATTATAAGACTACACAATATAGACAAAAGTATTGGGACACCTACACATTATACCTACAGGAGCTTTGATCATATCTCATTCTAAATCCATAGGCATTAATATGGAGTTGGTCCCCTCTTTACAGCTATAGCAGTTTCCCCTCTTCTGGGAAGCTTTCTACAAGATTTTAGAGTTTGTCTGTGGGAATTTTTGCCCATTCATCCAGAAGAGCATTTGTGAGGTCTGGCACTGATGTTGGATGAGAGGGCCTGGCTTGCAGTCTCCGTTCTGGTCCATCCCAAAGGTGTTTGATGGGGTTGAGGTCAGGGCTCTGCGTGGGCCAGCAAGTTCTTCCACACCAAATTAACCCAACCAAACCATTACAGTTGGCACAATACAGTCAGGCAGGTAACGTTCTCTTGGCATTCGCCAGACTCGTCCATCAGATTGCCAGATAGAGAAGTGTGATTCCTGAGTCCAGTGCTTTACACCACTTCCCTTGATGCTTGGCATTGTGCTTGATGATGTAAGGCTTGCATGCAGCTACTTGGCTATGCTTGGTCTGGAACTCTGCAGTTACTGAGTCAGCAGAGTGTTGGCAACTATTATGCACTATGCCCCTCAGCAATCGGCAACCCGCACTGTAACTTTACGTGGTCTGCCACTTCATGGCTGAGTTGCTGTTGTTCCCAAACACTTCCACATTTCAATAATACCACTCACAGTTAATTGCGAAATATCTAGGAGGGAAGAAATTTTGTGAACTGACTTGTTGCAACGGTGGCATAGTATTACAGTACCACGCTCGAATTCCATGAGCTCTTTAGAAAGACTGATTCTTTCACAAATGTTTGTAAAGGCAGACTGCATGGCTAGGTGCTTGATTTTATACACCTGTGGCAATGGGACTGAATGAAACACTTGAATTCAATGATTAAGAGGTGTGTCCCAATACTTTTGTCCGTAGTGTATTTCTAGAATTTTTTACTTAAGTAATTTTTTTAAGTGAAATTATCTCACTATACTGGCAGATCCTTGGGAAATAACTGATGCTTGTTTTAAGCATATTTCTAAGTTTGAGAGAAGTAATTTGTAATGGATTACTTTTTTTCAGTAACTACCCCAACACTAGCTAACTGTACGAACATTACTGCTACTGCATAATGTACAGTATGCTGAGCCTGTGAAGCACTCTGCTCTGATAAATTGACATTAGCTTTGGAAGTAAGGCAACACACTTTTGATTTCTTCTCTCTTTTTGCATTCCTCTGCTGCACTTGGATAACTTTGAGATTCCCTTTCAACACACAGAAAATCATTCCAAAGAACCAGCTTTCCAAAATGAGGACAGATTACTGCTTTATTGTCTTGTTCATACCAGTCTTTATGCAGTTGTTTCATCATGTAACATGCAACAGTCCTTTCAAACCATGGAAGGGGAGTGGCGATGCTTTGAAATGACAAAAAAATAATCGCTATAATAGCAAATAACAGCTATTTTTAAAATGTATATGTATTTCAGAATAGGTTATATAACATTAACAGGTGCAGGGTATTTAACTAGCATTTTCATGGGGCCTTTGGCTAACAGAAGCCCTAGGTGCCAGCCTACCTTTGCCTAGTGCAAAGACTGCCCCTGCATTTCACATCGAACCACTCTGAATGACTCAGTTTAATTATGCAGAAATGTTTACAATTGGTGGAATGCCCATTTAAAACTACATCAGTCCTGCATAAACTATAGGGTTACTAGGGGAACCCCTATAGTTTATGCAAGCTTCCAAATCATCCAAGATCCTAGATTTACAGAATGCCCAGTATGACATGCCATAATTCTCCCAGGAGATGGCAGCACAGATCTTGTTTATATAAAAGAGTTGAGAATATACCTGTGATACCTTTATCTATGAACTGTACACAGAATAGTTAGAATAGATCTTTCCATTTAAGTCAACAAATGTATCTTGATCTGTCAGTATCTTTAACATGAAATTCATGGAAACAAATATACAACAAAAACGACGAAACGAAACCAATTACTGTATTTTAAAGGGCATGTTTTTATGTTTGAGTGAAGGACTTTTGAGAAGTACACCGAACCCTTTCATCTTACATGTCTCTCTCCTGTCTCTGCATCACCCCCAACTTCACAAAGAGAAGCATTGTGAGAATAATAGCGGCCAGCTGGAACAAAGAAACACAGGCAAAAATTCTAAACAAACATACAATACTGTGCAAAAGTCTTAGGCACCTAAACAAAAAATAATTTATCTGGCTAATGTATGTATTTTTGCCTATACAGCCCCCATGTATAACTTGAATAAATTCAAAGAAACATAAATAGGACAAAAAGTTACAAGAATTTCTTGTTCTCAAAAAAAAGTAGTTGATATCTTTTGAGCTGCTTAGAAGGACAGAGGTTTGGTTCCTGATTTCTTCTCGAGTCCCTCCTGACATTGCAAAGGTTTGTGCGAAACAGCACAACTGATTTAACTTAATGAATCATGAATTATTAATGAGAGAATGATTAACAATAAGGAATGCTAGGCTGCCGTGACACGTTCGTTGTTGTATAAAGTTTTCATTAACACAGGAGGCACAAGACAGTTTGTCAAACCAACCTCAATTACACATATGGTGCCTGCTGCAGCTCCCAGAACTGCACTTTTGTCTCGGATTACTGATATCACCTTCTTATAGCAGCTCTGTAAACACAGACACAAAGTTTACACTTAGTCATGTCACATGTGCAGTCAGTTTCTTGGAACACATACATTTAAAAATAAAAGAAAATTTAAAGACATATATTTGGTACATGTGATTATCACATTTTTTTAACACACTGTTGATGGTTTATGATTTTTCTTGTTATAAATCACTACAGCCTCTTGAAGCAGGTCGGAGGCCGTTTCTGAAATGGCCATCGGGGGGCAGTAAGTATGTTTTTTTAGCCTAAAGTCTTGACTTAGCGCTGCACTACTCTGCTACTGCAGACATCATCTAGGGATGGCTTTAAATGTGCTATCTGTTCAAACGTGTAAAAGCAAAGTCCATACACACTGAGCTGTCAGTTTATTAGGTACTTTCCGCCTTGTCCCTACATTCATTGGCCATTTTATCAGGTACACCTACCAGATAGGCGCATTTTGTAGGTTAACAATGTTACCTACCTGTTGCTGTAAGCCACCTACCCATCATCATTGGAAAGGGACCACCATAGTATCACTGTTGAGCAGTGGATCATTCTCAGCACAGTAGTGACACCTACATGGTTGTGGCATGTTAATGTGTGTTGCACTGGTATGAGTGTATCATGTGCAGATGTGTTGCTTGGGTTGGCACACATTATGCACACATACTAGGCACTTTTTGAAAAAAAAAAACACATATCTTGCTTGTTCACCATGTATCTGTACAGTTAGAGACTGTAGTTAATCATTTTCTGCATAATTTGTGTTACTCATCCTCTAGGGTCTCAAACTCAAATCACCTGGCCAGGTGGTCTTCTCCAAGGGTTGCAGGTTGAAAAAATGTCCCATATTTTTTTTCCAACTGTGAATTTTAAATATAAACATTCATGTAAGGGCATCTTAGGCAATGTTTACTAGCAATTCTTCAGTCACCCCATACGACAACCACTATTACTAACAATAAAAATAATAACCACTACTACTATTATTATTATTATTATTATTATTAGTAGTAGTAGTAGTAGTAGCAGTAATAGTAGTATAAATACATAGTGTAATAAATACTTTAGTGTTTAATTAAATCAAGTAAACTTAAGAGCAATGTGTTAATGGACAACAGGTTCCAATGCATGGCAAAGCGCAAAAGTATGCTTACATACAACAGTGACTAGTTTGATTAAAACTAACACGTTTTTGCTTCATTCTACAAAAAAGAAGAGCAACCACTAGCAGTTTTCACATTTGAATGAGTTTTGTCGTTGTGAACACAGCAGAAGTGTTGACACAATGAGCAGTTAAATCTGCACTGTCAGTGGATTAATTTGATAATTCAGTTATTTTCTTAATTTTGATACGCTGTTTCTTCTGCTATGTCAAGAATTAATTTAATTAATTTAACCAGCCATAGTGTCTGGTGGGTGAAGCAAATCTACCTGTAAATATAGATAATATAAATATAGTAAAAAGATGTAAATATCTGGCTGCAGAAAAATGAAAAAAAAAAAACACTGAGCCAGATTTAAAGAAGAATTGTACATATGTGACAGACCACCATAAGCTGGCAAGTAGTTTGAGACCCTTGCTCTAGCCTTTTATCAATGGTCAGCCTTTGACCACAGGACTACTTTTGGCTGGATATTTTTGGCTGCAGTCACAGTGAGGTGTTCAAAAACCCCAGAAACACCGTTTTGTTTGATACTCTTACAACAGCTCAACACACACACCACCATGCCACTATCAATAGCTTTGCGTAGTGATGTCACTCCCTGCAAACAACTGTTGTCACATAAGTCTTGGTTTCTGAATAAAAACGTTGTGTCTAATTTCACGCAGTCATATGCAAAAGTTTGAACACCCCAGTCAAATTACATGTTTTGTTGATTTTCTAAGAGAAAATCGTGTGAACACTTCCTCTACAGAGAACACAAATACATACATACATCATCTAAACCGCTTATCCTTCTGGGTTGCGGTGGGGTGCTGCGGTGAGGTGCCTATCCCAGCTGTCACTGGGCGGAAGGCAGGATACACCCTGGACAGGTCGCCAGTCCATCACAGGGCAGACAGACAGACATACACAATCACACACACCTAGGGGCAATTTAGCATGTCCAATTAGCTTAACTGCATGTTTTTGGACTGTGGGAGGAAACCGGAGTACCCGGAGGAAACCCACACAGACACGGGGAGATCATGCAAACTCCACACAGAAATGACCCTGGTCGCCCAGCCGGGAATCGAACCCAGGCCATTCTCGCTGTGAGGCAACAGCGCTACCCACTGCTCCACCGTGCTGCCCTAGAACACAAATAAATATGGCATTTTTCTGCAAACTACATACATTTTGCACAGGCCATGTTTTATGTTTTATTTTTCCCCAGTACTAAACAGGAACTAAACAGTACTTATGCTACAAAATATGCAGTCATGTGTTCTCTGTGGAAGATGTGTAGTTACTTACATAAAAAGTAATTTGACCAGGGTCACTCAATCATTTGCATATGTCTATATATGTCACAACTTGTGTGCCTTTGGCTTCCTTGATGTCCCAATAACCCACTGATAAGGACATTTCATTTATTTTATTTTATGTATTTAATATTATAGTTCTTTTTCTAAACAGTACTTATGCTACAAAATATGCAGTCATGTGTTCTCTGTGGAAGATGTGTAGTTACTTACATAAAAAGTAATTTGACCAGGGTCACTCAATCATTTGCATATGTCTATATATGTCACAACTTGTGTGCCTTTGGCTTCCTTGATGTCCCAATAACCCACTGATAAGGACATTTTATTTATTTTATTTTATGTATTTAATATTATAGTTCTTTTTCTTCCATCTGAACCACTACATGAAAGATCATGTTTCTCTGTCATGTAAAGCTGTATACTCTCTCTGTAAGAGTTGCAAAGTGGCAGCAATTTTTTAAAAAGCTCTCATCTCTTCTTCAGTGCAGCTACACCTCTCCACCATGCTGTTAGTGTTTGTTGTAAGAGGCAAGTAAGGGAAATTTGTTAAATGATGCTAAATTTATGTGTAAATATATGATTTTCTCTAAAAAAAACTTCCCAATGTATGTTTTTGCAACATGTCAGGTTTCGACATTAGCTTTAAAACAATTAAGGATGCAGCTGTGTGCTTAGAATGACCCACCACCTAAATAATACCTGGTCAGAGGCAGTCATTTGGTTGTCCCTTTTCTCTGATAGATGGGGCAGAGGGTGGCTGACAAACTGTGAAGCAACAGTCTACAGTCTACAGTCAGTCTAAAGTCAGTAAAGCACTTACATGGTGCAAAGTGCCTTACAAAGTGCATTTATATGGTAGGTGTTTCATAGAGAATGGCCAATAAATGTATGTGCATACAACGAAGATGCATATCGTCACTGTCCAAAGAAAAACAAGTATCTCCAAAATGGTAACTTTACAGGAGAAGGCAAAAATTTCTTTACTTTTAATGTAAGTTTTTTAAGCAATTTTGGAGCATTTCTATAGGTCCATTCATCATGAAATTTTCACACAAAAACAGCTGAAAAATGAAAATAATATATACATACATATATATATATATATATATATATATATATATATATATATATATATATATTATACATATAAAAAAACACCTGGTTGATTGGCAACAGGACAGTAACATGATTGGGTCTAAAAATGCAGAGGCAGAGTCTTTCAGAAATAAAGCTGGGGAGGAGTTTACCACTCTGTGAAAGACTGCATGAGCAAATAGTGCAATAATTCAAGAATAACATTTTCAACGTAAAATAGCAAAGAACTTTTGCTTTTCATCATCTACGGTACATAATATCATTAAAAGATTCAGAGAATTCCCTGTATGCAAGTTCCCAAATGCCTACAGTGTGTTGTTAAAAGAAGAGGTGATGAAACACAGTGGTAAACATGCCCCCTTCCCAACTTTTTCCAACTTTTTTGGAACGTGTTGCTGGCATCAAATTCAAAATGGGCATATATTTTTCAAAAAACAATAACATTTCTCAGTTTCAACATTTGATATGTTGTCTCTGTAGTATTTTCCTTTAAAAATATGGTTTACATGATTTGCGTATCATTGCATTCTAGTAACCTTTTTTGGAAATGGGGTTGTGTGTATACATATATGTATAACAAACGACTTGTTATTCAGTGAAACGTGAGGCAGCAATCATGCTTTACCTGAGGCTGAATGACATCAGGTGCTAGGTTTAACCCATCACAGGCTGGCGACGTCTTTTCGATGCAGCACGTTTTAGGGTAATTAAGTCCCGTGGCCTGGCTAAACGCTGAATTTGTGAAATCCTCTGTAGAATTCTCAAAACCACAGCATTTGAACTGAGACAATAAAAGACAGAGACAATACAAACAGCTGTGCTCCTATAAAAACTGATTCTCCCTGTTCTGCTGAGCCAGCAAACTGATTCTGAGTTTCATTCTCACTTTGATCATGATGGTGTTCCATGCAGCAGAGATGGGGTCTGCTGCAGCTGGGCCCATATACAGCTTCTGTAGAGACTCCTTAGTGGCCCGCCACACCACCAGCCCCACCTTTGAATACAAAGCATAAAATGTTTAGCTACTGCTCTACTAAAATTAGTATCAATATGACTATGTTAGCAATAGCAGAATACAGAATAGAATGCCAATATTAAACCCTGAGTATCAGCCAATACCAATCCAATATTTCTTCTAAAGCTTTAGAGTTAACTATTTTTTACTGAAGCATTTTACTTAAGATGAGCATCTAAAAGTAAGCTATGATGCTCAAACCACTCAAACACTCTCCTATCCTACAGGGAAAAATACATAGCTAACATCACATCACATCACATCATACATTGTGAGCGTGTGCTATTTCAGTATAACATATATATATATATTTGGATTAGATAGTTGTTACAGGATGTAACTGGATTATTTTTTTAACTCTGATATATGATCCAGCATTTCTGCTGATATTGGCCTGATACAGATATCAAATTGGTGCCATCTTACAAATACATGAGACATCACAAATATACATGAAAGAAATACGGTTTTTACCAATTCTCTGTAAACCCAGACAAAAATGGTGCCCACCACTTCTGCGACAAAAACAGCTGTCAAAATGAAGAAAAACTGTGGAAAATGAATAAGAAAGAATTGTAAGTGAACTGATCGTCAGAAAATTAAAATTATGAGATTTGGGAAAATTAAGTCTTTAAATGATGACATTCTATATTCTTATAGTTACATTTCCAGACTCCTAAATGTAGAGCAGTTTTACAAATGCAAAGGCATCGGGCAATGCCTGTCTTCTTTTTATGTTTGCTGCACCCCACTTAATAATCTCCACAGTAAGATCGAACCCAGGCCCACCACCTATTCATTTATTCAAATTAAGTAAAAGTCATGCACTTTTCACTGTGAGTAAAAAAAGTCAGAAATTTGCACAGAAGCTTCAACAACTAAATACAACATCAGTTTTTTCAGTATTCACTTTGCCTTTATTACAGCCACCATTCTTTTCAGGAAACTTGCTTTCAGTTTTTCAAAGAAATCTGCAGTGATCATTTTCCACACCTCCAAAGTTCAGTGTTAGAGATTGGTTCTCATTTTCTGCTAAGCAATACCAAACACATTAAATGATGTTGAGGTCTGGCTAGTCCACTGTTCTGAGAACAACAGAAGCTTCTTTGATACGGACATGCTGATCTTCTCAGCAGCGTGTTTGGGTTGTTATCTTGCTGCAGAATGAATTTCAAATCAAAAGTTTTCCAGAGGGTATTATATAATGCATTAAAATTTGTTTGCACTTATCAGCATTCATAATGTCTTTAATCAAAAACAAATGACTAACTTCAAGTGATTTACCAGGTTTTGCACAGTTGTAGAGAGTCCCATTTTAATCCCATTTTAATAATTTTTTGAACTCCAGTTTTGGAAACTTTTTTTTCACTTATTTTCCTTGTCATTTCCTCTTCTTACGCAAGAGGATTGTCTTATATCTAATCTCCTGTTTTGATAAATATCTCCTTTAGCCATTTTAGATGCTCATAAGAGAGAAATCTGTAAGGCAGTTAAGGTGTGTCTGGGAAGTTGTGTGAATGTTAGGGTCTCTTAAAGTCAACATAATATCAGTGATAGTTTTGGAAACATCTTTTGTTAGAAAGACACAGCTGTAACTCGGTTTAAAAATTGGAAGGATGGAAGCGTTAAAGAGGCACAAAAGTAAGTACTGGACAAATAAAATACTGATATATTTGACATAATACTTAGAGCTGGAAGCTTTATGTAATTATCTGTTAAATATATATTACCTGTATCAAATATATATTACCGTTTTATGTCTTTTTCCCCTGACAATGAAAAATGAATAACTTACTAATAACTGTACTTTGTGACTGTTCTGACTGAAAATTAAATAAACTAAAATATGTTGCCTAAATTTAGAATGTATTAAGCAAGATATTCTGTATATGACCTATAAATAATGGCGCACCAGCATGAGGCAGCAGCGGTTCTCTTTCCAAGCCCCACAACTTCCAGTGAGGCTGGTGAAAATGAGCACGGCTCCCATGCCAATGCAGATGTAGCTCATATTGAGTTGAACTGAGTAAGGGCCCAGGGCATACACCAAGGTGCTGGCTCCATAAATGATCCATGCACCCAAGCCCACAAGCACAAAGCCACTAATCTGAAATAGAGAGGAAGAGAGAAAGAGACAGACAGACAGTTACAAAGACAAAAGAGGGAGAAAGATATTCAGTGTGCCACAGACAGAAGTGACATTTATTATGGCTGTTTAGTACCATACATCAAGGCTTCTCAATCTTTTTTGAAGAAGGAAAACTAATCAGTAACGTTCAACTCAGTTTATTTTGGCTAGCTCTTAAATCCCATTTTGAGAAACACTGCATCATGGATAAACTTCCTGTCAAAGTGAGCCTCTTAAAAAATTGAGGTACTTACAAAAATCAATGTACAAAGCACTAACAGTAGGTATCTCATCGATTCATACAACCTGCTTGGAAAACAGGCCATTTTCTCCAGTAACGGTATTCAGCATCTAGTAAAACCAAAGAGAATGAGCACTGTTACAAAGCAGCTTTACAAGGATTTGATGCGAAGCCAGACTTGGAAACTGAGTGGTAAATACATAGACATAAGATTAATGTTGAGATGAAGACGCATAAAAAAAGGGCTGTGCTGTAATAATCAGACACACATATCATTTTACACAGTTTCAGTTCACTGCCATGTTATAACTTTGAACACAGAAATGCAGCCAGTTAGACAGTAATGTGTCACAAGAACTACCTTACTACCTAGTCTTAAACATAAAGAAAGTGACATAAGGTAGTTAGCTTGTACATTCTGTAGACATAGCTTAACTATCGAGTACACTAGCTACAGGTATGACTTTAGAATAACACCTGACGGTCTGGACACGGAACGTAGCTTAAAGCCTGCTAATGTTAGCTAACTAGCTAACCTAGTTATCTTGATAGCGAGATCCTTACGTTAGCTGGAGAGCTAGCTATTTACACGAGACCTTAGCTCACTGCGTTCGTTAATGTTTTATATTGTTTTCAGATTTATTTCCCTGTCAAACTCTTTCTCTTTAATGTAAAGAAAAACACTAGCTAAACAACAAAATTATGCTCTTTACTTACACAATATGTAAATGTGTGGCCAGTGAGCAGACAGTAGGTGTCGCTATAGCGGCTTAATAGAGCACAACGGTTACAACACTAGAAAAACACGGAGCGCCTTGGTTGCCACAGTAACAGGTGTTCTAACAATTTGTCCCTTCAGCGGTCCTACCGAGCATGCGCACATCATCAGCACAGCGTGGTAACTGTGTTTTGAACGTTTTATTGTGTTTTTAATGTTAATTCAGTACAGATTCGGCTTAATATTACTACTCAGGTCCTAGGTGATCTAGGTCATCAAAAGGTCAATTATGCTTTTAATGCTCGTAACATTTTCCGGTAACATTTTTAAGGACATTTAGGCTATCAAAATAGCATATCTACAGTTTAATTCAGGGATCTACCTGTAAATGTGTGTTACGGTAGGACATTTCGACAAGGTCGCACAATTCGTCAGAACAGCGGCCGTGTTTGGGGCTCTTTGGAGTCGATGCCAAAAAGAATCGATTCCGCGATTCAAAGCATTGGACTCGATTCTACCCACACGGAATGTGAGATGTTCTGCTGTCACTCAACTAGAGCGTCTGTCTGAAAACTATATCCTTCCACAACATCGATAGCGCAGCTGTATTTTACTATAGACAAATGGGAAAACAAATCGATTGATAGTAATCCATTGAGTATAAAAAATCCGGAATTGAATAGCCCATGTTCTTTAAGCCAGCAAAGAAATATGAGAAATGACAAACAACAAATTAAATTCTGCATTTTTTTTATTCTTATTATTAAAACATACACTCCATAATTATTAGGTTAAAATATATGTAAACTGTATGATTTCAAAAATAGCTTTGAGGGGACTGTTCATTGAGAGCTTATTACAGCTTGCTTTGAATTCAGCACAAAAGGACTATTAAAATTCTTTGGTACTTATAATGTAAATAATGGTTAATATAAAGTTTTTTTTTACAAATACATACAGGCTTTAATATGTTCCTTGCTTGGGTTAGTTTCTAAACGTAAATGTAGTTGTAGTTCTTCTGTATTATTGCGCTTTTATAAAGTTTTTTGCAACAAACATCAGAACTGAGTTCACCGTAGACATAAAGATAGCCATACAGAAAGTACCTAATCCTGACTGTAAAGTATGGTGGTGGGTCTTTGATGCTGTAGGGCTGTTTTTCTTCCAAAGGCCCTGGACAACTTGTTCAGATACATGACATCATACACTCAGCAGAATAGAACCAGCAGAAATAAAATCAAAACCTGACTGCCTCAGCCAGGAAGCTTAACCTGGGCCATGGTTGGACCTTCCAAGAGGACAGTGATCCAAAGCACACCTCAGAATCAACAGAACATTATTTCACTGACCACAGAATTAAGGTTTTGTCATGGCGCTCCCAGTTCCCTGACCTAAACCCCAAAGAAAACCTGTGGGATGAGCTGAAGAGGACAGTCCACAGTGTGGACCTCTGCATCTATAGGATCTGGAGAGATTCTGTGTGGAGAAATGACCACATGTACTCCAGTCTCATTAAGCACTAGAGGAGAAGACTCTTTGCAAAGGGAGGCTGCAAAAAGTATTAAATGGAACGGTGCCAACAATCGTGGCACATATTGATTTGAGAAGAATATTTATTTCATGATAAAAGATAGGTTCTTTCACTCAAATATTAGATTTTTGTTAAAATGAATGAAAGACCAAAAGGATACACAGCAAAAACGTTTTTACAGCCGATTTTGCTCAAGCTCAGTAGGGCTGACAATATTTGTAAAGGGCACTATAGGATAACTTACAGGTCATGAATCCATTCATATATCAACTTCTTAATCACTTTGCCTTTGACAGGACATAACAAATGACTAAATAAACAAACATAATACAACAAGGTAAAGTGATTATTAGAATGAATTACTAACAAAGCATTACCTTTTGGGTATCTCATTTTAAAATCAACATAAGTAACAAATTAAACATTAAATCCTTTATAGAATATAATCTTATCATACATAGAGCACATTGTTTATTTTAATAAATGCAAATTAATAAAAACATTCAATTCAGCATCATTTATTTAAAATAAAAAAAGGTTCCTTTGAATGTATATCTGTAATTGTGAAATGTCTGGAAGCATCTTCTTTTCCTCAGGCTTCAGGAACCTTTTGCCTTTATCTGGCAATACAGGGTCATGGAGACAACCATGGCAGAAAGCTAAAAGTTAACAAAATGCAAAAAAGGAGAAAGGTTAACTTGACAAAAATGCCTGCTTGACATCAGTATTTCTTCAATTGCAAAGGCAGACCTGGGCTGCGTTCAAAATAGCATACAACCTAATGTATACTGCATACTGCACCAGCATACTGCATGCTACTCCTCGTAGGAGTACATAGGGGTGGGCAATATGGTGATATTTTATCGTTATCATGATATATTTTGATACAATATGACTTGATATTGCGGGTATCATTAGTACTTAAAGAAAAGACTGAACAACAGCATAATTAGTCCTGATTAACTGGATTTGGACTGCACTGCTGTGTCTGATCCGCTTGTGCCAGCACAACACCCACAAACACACCACCACCACGTCAGTGTTACCAGAGTGCTAAGAATGATCTGACACCAAAGTAATGCCTGCTCTGTGGGGGTCCTGACCATTTAAGAACAGGGTGAAAGAGGTCTAACAAAGTATACAGAGAAACAGATGGACTACAGTGCACCTATATGGTCAGTGGAGCCAATAAAACAAACAATGAGTGTAAAAACAAGGTGTTGTTCTTAATGAAGGGGCTAATCGGTATGAGTAAAAACCCTCTGTTTTGATTGCTGTATCATCTCTCATTCAGAAAGCAGTACAGACTGAAACATTCCTTATAACGTAAACATGAATGGGTGAAGCTAAACTGCTGTAGACTGAATAGGCAGATATATAGTCATATTCAAAGTTTTGAGTGCCTATGGTCAAAATAAGTAATAAAATATATTCTCTGCTGAAAACACACTTCTGCACACTTTAATGCACAATTACTGTTTATTTGCTGCAGTGGACAAATATATAAAATATACATAGTGGAAAAATAAATAAAACACAATGTGGTCTGTGCAAAGGTTTGTTCCCTGTAGAGGATGCGTTAAAAGTAGAGAAGTGGTTCTTTGTTACTGTTGACTGTGTGAGCAACTATGTTGATTTGTCGTTGTACACTGAGCAGTATATTGTTTGATATACAATCTAGTCTGGTAGTGTGCAGTTTTGGATGCAGCTTTTGTGAAATACTGCATCCAGAAATGCAACACAGTCATTTCAGGAGGACATAACCCATAGGTGTCAACCTCTGGAGACAGTAACCCTTCCAAACTGTATTCATTCACTGATACCCTACATTTCTACCTTTTAACTCATTAGCAACAACAGCAATGTAACACGTTTTGATTATCTTTATGGTGATTTATTCCTCTGGTAATTGTATAAATTATTAATTACAGAACCAAAACATGTATTTTTCACACAGTTAAATACACATACAAGCAATCAGAGACAAAGACAGAGAGAGGAGAGAGGAGGTTGTTTTGCTAAAAGCTGCCAGAATAAAATGTCTCTTTTGAGATTAAGGAGTAAATGTATCTTTGCTAATGCATCTTCATGCCATGAGCGACAAAGAAACTAAAGTTTCGTCTCCAATGACAATCTGATTATTACAGCACAGCCCTTTTTTAAATTCTGGCAAGAGAAGCTCTGATGAGTTGGCTCAATTCTCTCATGTGGCGATATCCATTTTGTTTTGTCTGTGTACAGCTTATGTGCAATGTCAACACTTCATTTAAAGGGCTCATATCTGGGGAAAAAAATAATTTTCCCTAGTATTATGAAATAAAATACTCTCCTGTAGTATATAAACACTGCTAAATTTTCAAAATGTATGGTCACTTCAGAGTCCATGCCTTCCATAACTAAGCTGCAAAAACAGCCCATTTTTCAATTCACGGTTTTTGTGATGTCACAGAAAACAACCTATTTACATACAGTAGAACGTAAACGTTTGAACGCTCCTAGTAAATGACCCGTTTTGTTCATTTTCCAACTGAAAATAAGCTAAATGAGAAATGCTTTAGATCAGTTAACATACAGACGTTAGCAACTGGTTAAATCTATAACACTGAAAGTTTATGTTTTGAGAAGGTAAATACATCATGAACATTAAAGTTATAACTCATATCACTAAATGTTAGCTGGCTAGCTGGTTGCTAACAATACTCACTTTTATGGAGGCGTCCATATTTTTCCCTACTTTGAAGCTTGAACGCAATTCCAAGCTCAGACTTCACAATACTGAGTTGAGTTGAACACTATAATAGTATGCCACCATTAGAAGTCCTTCCATTATTGTAACATGTATAGCATAGTACTGTGTGGTTTTGAATGTGGAATGTGTGACTGGTGATAGCCGGGTATCTCTGACATACTGGAGAAATTCATGTTGATCACCTACTGTATAGGACTTATGGACACAGTCAGTACATGTGCAGTATGCAGTAGGCTATTTCAAACAGAGCCTTGGTCTGCTTGTTTGCTTTTTGCAGTCAGACTTTAAAAACAGGCCAGCAGATAACTTACTTCGAGAACGGCAATTCCCAGAGCCACACCTATGATGACAACTGAATTTGAGTCAAACCATTTAACCAGTGCCGGGAAACACCCAGTAACATTCTGAGAAGAAAACGTGTAAAACCATGTTAGAAAGTGGGAAAAAGGAAATTTGAGCTACGTTAACACTTTAGGCTTTGAAAAAAAAGTTTATAAACTGTGTGAAATGTAAAAAAGCTATAATTAGGATATAAAACATGACAGGAAAACAGAAAAGTGAGTAGCACTGCCTGATTAAAAAAAGAACATTGAATCGAGAAGATTCTGTTTGTAGTTTCAATCTACAAAGTAAAGTTTAAAATCATCAAGCTTTACCGCAGCTGTGGCGTTGACTTTCAAGCAGGGGCTAACCGTACAGCACTGGGATGGGTAGGTGTTGTTTTGGCTAAAAGGTGAATTTGTGAAATCTGTGTAGTTGTTGAATCCACAGCACTTCAGCTATAAGAGAACATAAAGTGTATCAAATCTTACTCAACAAGACAAAATTACTACTAGAATTTAAATACATGTACTTCAAGCTGTTTGTGACAATTAGCTTACTGCCTCCTCTAAATAGACACTTTAAAGGTGAATTGCACCAATCTTTTAAAATTTCTGCAGAATTAAGTTGCTAAGATGTAAACAAAGTAATTCGGAGTGGTTTGATGTGAAGTGATTCATTCTAGAGAAACTTAGAGTCAGAATTGTTCATGTTGTGGAAACTGCTATGTTTAAGGCGTATAATGCAGGGGTGGGGAACTGAGTCCAGCACAGTTTGGCGATTTCCTTTCTCTAGCAGACCGACCAAACCTGGTAATTAGTAGGGGTGGGAATCTCTATAAACCTCACGATTCGATTCGATTCAGAGGGCTGCGATGCGATTATAAAATGATTATCGATGCATCTTGATGCATCTTTTTTCGGTCGCTGTGTCAGTAGAATATCTTCGAGACGGGACTGTATCTCGGCTCCAAAGTATGCAACACAGCGGGAAAGCTCTGGTTCTCAATGACTGATAACGGACGCAAATCCTTGGTAATAAAAGCTGCGATCGAGTTTGTAATTCGCTTCGCCCTTTCCGAGTTGGGTGGAAGCTTTGACATCGCTTGCTCGATGGTCCTCTGGTTGCAAGTACAGCCGGACGGAAAATGGGTGGAAACGTGTAATATGGTTTCTCGTGTTTGTCGTTTCCAAAATATTTTAGTTTAGTGTGACACAACTTGCATGTAGTATGGCTTGAAGCCAAAATGCTCCCATACGCTAGCTCAAGGGTCGAAAACGGCTCTTTTATAGCCCTGATGCGGTTCCACATCAGAATTAACTAGATTTTTAGGTACAAATAAAATAATCCGCCTTTGCAGTAAAATAAAGCTCTGCTAATCGTTCTAATACCGTTTCAACAATAGATGTTCTTAAACGCAGCTAATTCACCACCGTATAATCCTGAAGATCAGCACGCAGACTGCAAATCACACAGCAACGCCTCGTCTAGCTAGTAGCGAACGAAAAAGCAAAAAGACAGATTTAAGACGAGCATTTGGAGACGAATGGACTTATTCATATTTATAAGCACTGCAGTTGGTTTCCTGGTACGTTAAATCTGCAACGAGAGACTGTCAAACAGTAAAAAGTTGCGAAGATTAAGTCAGCTTCTCTTTCGAATTCTCCCGTTCCACCTTAAAAACGGTGCCGCATTTACGTTCTGGCGCCTCAGTTAGAATTTAAGGTGGAACGGGAAAATTCAAACAAGAAGTTGGAGGGTAAGAAGCAGATTTTAGCCTCGTAAAACAGTCGAACGAGAGACATTTTACAAGAAACAGATCTACTTTTGAGGAAACGTTTCTTGGCAGAGATGGGAGGAAAGCGGCTAACGCTTAAAGCAGAGCAAAGTAAGTCCGCGTTTTCGTTTATATTGTTTAGCCTATACTAGGACATTATCACATACTGAGACATACTGGACATATAATGTTGTGGCTCCCAAGGTGGTTTTTGTTGAAAGGACAAAATGTCTCTTCTTAACATTTGGATTGTGACTCCTGACTTAACCTGGCTTTTAATGCAGAGGGTGCCGGTCGGATTTCTCGCTCATCCAGTTGCTGCCAAACAGCAGATCGCGCTCACGAGTGAGTCCTCAATGAATGTGAGTAAATGGCGCTCAACGGGCAAAAACGAAGAGTTAAAATAGTTTCTAATCACTTTAACAGAACGTTTCTTTGATTTTAGAAAGTAGAAAGATGTATTTTACTAAAAAAAACCAAAAGAAATCTTACCTATACATTTCCTTTTACTACCGCGAACGGGTTTTGTGCAGCAGAAGGCGGGTATTACAGCGTGAATGATTGGCGAGCGGAGCAGCTCATTGGCTGTTCGCGCTCCCTGACGTCATGAACATACATGAGGCGCCGTTTTAAACTCCTATAACTCGAGTTTACAAGTTCTTAAAAATATAACAGCGGTGTTAAAATGTTTTATGATATTCATTGTTCAGGAAACGATTGCATTCTTTTACATTTAAAAATGTTTAAGCATTTATAAACTATGATTTTGCTCAAATGCTCCATATCAACCCATTCATTTTGGACTCACTCTGGAGCGCCCTCTAGCGTTTGAGAAAACCAGAAGACATTGCAGAGCAGTAATTCTCCTCTCTACAAGTTCTCTGGTTGTGTTTTTGTTATGTGCCGTCACAAACTGTCCAGGCACTGCACTTCCGCACTTCCAAGTTCCACCTTTTGCGTTCCGTCAACATTACGTCATAGATGCATCTAAGAATCGACCCCCCCTAGTAATTAGCCAATGAGTTGAATCAGGTGTGCTTAAGCAGGAAAATCACCAAACTGTGCAGGAATCCAGCCTTTCAGGACTGGAGTTCCCATCCCCTTGTTTGAAGCCTCTAAAATCTACTTCACAGAAACATTACATGAACTGGTTACAAATATGTCACCTGATACCTGAGAGATTAATTTTTTATTTATTTTTTTTAACACACTCTTTGTGGAGAGATACTCAGCGAGTGTTTTAAGGCAAAATAGCAACCAAAGAAAATGTACCACTACTTTATCATTATCCACATTACATGAAAAACAAAAAAATACTCATGTAGAAGACATGTAGGTTCACTGGTTGTTTATGACTGTAAAAAAATGGCTATATTTGGACATCCTATCATTGTAATGAAGTCTGTGTTGGTATGCATCTCTATAATGTACCATTTCACATCAAATGAAATAGAGGAGTGAGCAATATAATAATAATAATAATAATAATAATAATAATAATGACAACTTTAACATGCAGATTTAAAAATTGCACTACAATGCTCTGCAGTTATCAACATAGGTTACAAACCGTGTCCATGATAGCATTCAGAAGGCCGGTAACATCTTTATTAGCTCCATAATCCTTTTTGACAGATTCCACTATCTTGACCCCGACTTGACTGATCACACCTTGAATCTGAGAGATGCAGAATAAAAATTAGTTGCAATATTGGCATTAGTGCTGTAAACTGTCCTGTTGTGAAATATGCACTGCAATTTTCTAAGCAGTCTAAGCTTTAAAGCAGCCATCTGCACCTAAAAAGACCACTTTTGTTGACTTACCAGTCCCTTAAAAACTAGGAGCACAACCGCTCCAGCCACCTCAGCAATGAAGACAATCAGTATAATGGTGAAGAACTGAGGAGAGAGAGAGAAAAAGCAGGAACAATAAGAAAAGGAGGCAAAGAGATGAAACTACTTAGCTCGATTCTGTAAGTAGCCAGTTTCAGATAGTATAACTGAAAGAAAACTAAACAAAACCTGATCCCAACTAGTAGTACATATAATAACAGTATTAGTATTATTTACCTACTAATATTATGATTAACAACAAGCAAATTGATGTACATTTGGAATGAGAGGTATTACTTTTAAAGTTATATTCATTTTTTCTTGCATTTCAACCTCTTAAAAAAAGGCAACAGTGGTTAAAAACAACCTGTGGATTCGAACTTCATTGTGTGTGTCTGTTGGTGAGTTAACCATTTCTAAGCCATGAGCAATTACATAGATCCCATTGTTTTGAAGTAAATGTATCCCAAAATCTGAAAATTGTATGATTATGTGCGTACAACTGTTGAAAGCTGTGTTTGCTAGTCATGTACTGGCTAGAGTTTTGCTCAAAATTAGCTCAAATTGTTACTACCAAAATAGTCACTACTGAAACATTTGATAAAGTTTTGGTAGTCTAATGATAGTTTTGTTCGTGGCAAATGGAATGTTGAATCATTTGTTTAAATAAAATAAACATAATTGAGGTATAAGGTCATTTAAAGCCAAAAGATTTTTGTCTAAAGTCTGTTAAAGTCAGTTAAAAATCCAAATATGTTTTGAACTCCGACTTTGAATCAGCTCAGTAGAATGATCCATATAGTGTTTTAGTGGCACACTTACTGCCAAGATAAAAAGTATCAGAATAGAAAGTTTAGTTAGATACTGACATGCTCTTTGCTACTCTAACTGCACTTTTGTACTATATTGACAGCTAGATGGTTAATTGCTAGTTTTTCACAGTATTTGACTCTCAGTTTCCACTGTGCCATGTTCACAGGCTCAACTTAGATTGCTAATATTAGCGAAGTTAGGTCATAAACACTGGTTACATCAGTATCTTCTAATTACAATGGTTTAGTATATTGGTATCTCATACATTGTTAGCTCATACATAGCACCCCACTGATATCAGTTCACTATAATCCATCCAAGAGAAGTAAACAGTTTAAAAAGCACATTTTAACTTCAGGAAGTTTTAAGATTAATAATGAGTTCAAAAGGCTAAAAGAAGGCTTTTACATTTAAATGGGAACCATTTTGCCTAGCAGTGCTATGTTATCAGCTGTTGTGGTGACAGCAGACCTACCATCAGCAGCATGCACTTGCTCTCCCGCACTGCGCCACAGCAACCCAGGAAACCAAGCAACAGCAGCACAGAGCCCAGCGCGATCAGCAGGTAGCCCACATTCAGCACCTGGTTCAGATCAGATGGTGCGCCTTCCAGGTTCTGCAGAAAACTCAGGATAGAGCCTTTGTCCACCTTCACCCAGATGCCCACTGCTAGGACACCGGCTCCAGCCACCTTTGCAGGAGAGAGAGAGAGAATAGTGCTATACAGAACACTATTACAGAGAATAAAATTTGTGATTCTAAAGTTCTGTTTAAGTTGGGGTAGTTTTATCTGGCAAGGTGCTGTAATTTAATTGATTACTGATGAGAGCTGTGATTTGAATGCAGTACAGTTCTGCAATATCTGTAGTTTTTTTTTTTACTAGTCCAAGAAGTAATAATTCCAAAGTGACTGTAAGTCAGAGGACCCAGAGCTCCTTCAGTAATAGTAGTCCTGTTCAAATTGACCTCATGGTACAGTAATAACAAAACCTGTATGGTTCACTTATCAACTTAGTCACTATTATACACAGCTTTTGCAATATAGTGAATGACTGGGGTTCCGCCATGGACCGACCAAAAGATTTAGCATTGAAAACTCAAATAATGCTGCTGCCACACTATATGGACTATTTCTAATAGGGGGTTAGGGATTCAGAGTGCAGCCTTACACTGTCTTGTTATTGAGTGTGGCACCTGTCATGTATTGACAATGTGCGCATCCGGGCTATGTCATTTCAGTCCAGGTAATCTATGGTCATTTGAGGAAATTGTAGAGATACTTTGTCCCGTATGAATCAGCCAGTCAACTCCTTAATTTACATTACCAAACCTCCTATGGTAAAAGTAACCCAGTTCCATTAGTGCTTCAGTAAACAGTAAAAACTCCTTAATTCCTTTGCACATGACAGTCCATTTATGGGTGTTCCATCCGCTATCGTACACTGTATAAAACCTACTGTGGTGCACTGCATGTTTTTAAGATTGGATGTTCCTCAACATAGTTTCTAGACCATAGCAAACCTAAATAGTGCACTATTATATTTCTTCTCTCATACAAATGCACATGGGGATGTCTGATGTATCTTGTTGTTGTCGTCGTTTATCCCCTCACTATTCACACTTATCAACACTTAGCTTTAGCATGAGGCATTCACGTCATTGTATTTTAATGGAAAGGTTATTAGAAGAAGCAGGAATGCAGTAGCCCTTGTAGATGTGTAGTTGTGATGTTGGAGATGAGTGCAAGACATTTGCATAGAGAGGTGAAGATCAAGTAAACCAGGAAACTAATCCCTCCTAAAAGCGATAACATATTTGGTTGCTGAGTTTACTAATTTGTGTTTTTGGAACTTTAACCTTCCTTTATGCAAAAAGGGGACATAAAAAGCTAAACCTTTTTGGTTTGTGAGCGGTTCCAATTTAAGGTGCCCTCGAAATGAATAAATATTGTTTGGTTCATCTGAGCTCAGTGCTTCTTCAAAGACACAGAGGGCTACAGTTGTTATGGCCAAAAAGATTAAGAAGTAATAAGTAATTTGTAATCATTTCATGAAAGTCAACGCTGCCCCAGTCTGTCCCTTGCCTAATGCATAACATGATAACAGGTTAAATAAATAGCCTAAACCAGAAAATAATATTGTTTTGCCTTTATCTGGCAATACAAGGTGTTATTACTGTTGTAATTTCAAGTAAAGTATTGCATTGTTGGAAGGGTTTCTTAGTCACTACACATTTAATCATATATCATGCATCACTTCAGCTTCATACCATATCCCCAATGTGTTGTATAACTATTTATCAACAGTAAAACTACTGTACTTACAAAGATGATGCCATTGAAAAGGAACATCATCGTTTTCAAAAATCCAAAGCAACCCATCTTCAGGATATCTGCTGCACCTGAGACAAGCGCAAATTCAGAGAAAAAATGAGAACACAAGAACAAATCAATAGCTTTAGAGGCACAACGTCTGTAATAAGGCCAGTTATCCAAGCATAATCTGCCCAGATTTAAACTAAAAAGGATTTTCAGTAGAGAATTATCTCGGCCTAGACCAGTCAGTGGAGTAAACACCCCACTGCTCAGTCTATGCTTCTTTTTTTAATAGCATAGAAAGGGTGAAGTACTTTGAAAGGGATCCAAAAGACTCTGCAGCAGGAAGCAAATGTCAGTTACCATCACTGTGGAAACTCATTTAACTGAAAGTATCATTAACCCAAAACATTGGTTTCATGGTCCATAGGCTTACTCCCTCTCTATGGACAAAAGCATGAATTTCCTGTTCAATATCTAACTAGGTTGAACAGGCACATGCACAGCCATTTCTGGGCGGGGGAATAACATGGACACAGATTAAACTTAAAGTGGCACTATGTAAGATTTTTTGTTAAAATTTAAGTAAGTAGTATTAGTGAGTCACGGAAAAACCATGTCATGCGTCTTTGCATATTAACGTCAACACACACAAGCTCAAAAAGACAGTCCGGCTTGATGTTATGTCTCAAAAGCAAAATCAATATTACAGTCGTAAGCAAATGTTTGAACACAGATATTCAAATTTTCTATGAAAAAATTATCCGCTATAGAGAAAGCACTTAAATACATCTTTTTTCTGCTAATTTTAGTGCACAATTTCTATTTATTTGTTGAGTTTAAATTTCACACAATGAACGCTTTTTTCAGATTTCTAGAATTGGAATTGTTCGAATTGAGTTCTGTCCTTTATCTTCACTAAATCCAGTGCAGTGCAAAAGGATTAGGGCACAGTTTTTATTTACATATATACATTCATATTGTATTAACCACACAGAGACTGCACTGTAGCTTTTTGTGTCATTTAATTTAGTATTTTACTCTACTATTCCACTGAGTATTTACTTCAGTTTCCATATTTGATTACACATGGATAAAACAAGCTCAGACCACAAGCTGAGATTTATAGACTATGCATTATTTTTATTGTAGACTACAATAAAATGGAGCTTAAAAGAGCAAGAGAAAAGCAAATTTACCTGTATGAGCCTCACATCACCCTGACGCCCAGGCTTTATTATCTTACGTTTTATGTCTGCCCTGCCTGACAGTATCATGCAAAGCAGTGGTCTAAAGCTGCCTGACAAGGAGCCTACATTTAAATACCTACCAGAGCGATGCTGAAACATATAAAAGATATGCAAAATGTAGCTTTGTTGTTTGCTTCCACAGTGTGACCTGGACTACTAATTTTAGTGCATAATTTCTATTTATTTGCTAAGTTTAAAACAGATTATGTGCCATAACCTTTGCACATATTACATTTTTTATTTTTTTCCAATATGTTGAATTCAGCAAATGAACAGTAAGTGTGAACTAAACTACTCTGTAGAGGATGTGTCAATTACATAATCAACAAAACATGCAATGTAACCAGTGTGCCCAAACTTTTGCATTCAACTGTATCTAAAATGACTGTTGTAAGAATTTTATGATATTTAACTTCTAGAGTCTCTACAGTGAAAGAGTCTGTAGTCTGTAGTGAAAGAGTATCATTCCATTCCATTATTAAGGCATTATTTCTTGAAAAAAGCTAAATTATCTGCATTGTTGCCTTAAATCTCTCTCTCTCTCTATTTTAATATATATATTAAGTGATAGAAGTGATATAGTGCTAACTAATGCAGGTTTTGAAAATACATATACATAATATATAAAAATACAAAGTCCAAGCACACGTGGACCTTTACTATGCTTAAATTATGATAACGTTCAGAACCTTTTATTATCATTACCAGCATGGCTGGTCACTGGCAAAACCAACAAATTGTACTGTGGATTCTGGTATGTTGGTCAACCAACATGACGCTGCTGGGTGGCCAGCACCAGATCAGTGTAGAGGGAAGGCATGTTGGTCTGTGCTGTTTTTTTAGCATAGCTGTTGCACGCCAACAAAACACAAAAAAGACAAAAATAAGAAAAAAAAAATGGGTGCTGCAATTTCTCATTAGGTTGGGTTTTTTGACAATGTTCTGGAAAGCTTGTCCAACATAGCAGCATCATTTGTGGGCAGAGCACAGACCGGTCAATTCATGGCATTTATTAGCAGAAACATAGCAGAAACATATTTTTACAGGCCGAAGTATTTTTATAGCCATGTTCTTTACATTATATGATGCCTTCAGGTTTATTGTTGAAAATCATTGCTGTGAAATCATCTCACTTGGCCTTTGAGTCACAATATTCATAAACGACAGTTATAGGTTTAGGTCATTTCCTCAGGTCGCTCACTGGTGGTTCTTGGATCTGGAGCTGTCTATGAATATGTCGAGGGCAACAAGTCTCCAACCACATCTTTCAGCTTTAGAGCAAAGGAAGTGGTAGAATCATCATGCTGTTCTAAAAATCATGAAGTGCTTCTTTAATTAGACGCAATTTTGTTGACTTGCTAGTTAAAATTAATCTTGATCTTAATGCAAGAGAGGTGATAAGAAAGGGCTTTTATTTGGCCTGAATGCTTCTTTATAGTGAGGGAGGTGAACTGTGGAGAGCCCAAACTGTGGTTTTCTAGAGGCAAATTTAAATGACAGATGTTAACAGCTACACCCACATTGATAAAGAAAATCACACTATCCATTTACTGAACAAGAGGTCACTGTCTTGTATAGTCACAACTCTGACCACAGTCAGCACCTCCTTTTTGGCCTGAATGTGTTACAGGCCACCATCTCGCCTCGTTCAGGCCTGTGAGCCTCTTTGGAAAGCTTTGTGGGGTTTTGAATATGGTTGGGTGGTGGATAGCTAAAAGTTCATTTTGGCGATTTTTCCCTGATATTGTTTATAGCAGCATGATGTCAGAGGTAAAGTTTCATTCGTTTAATTTCCGGTAAAAATGGCCACTAAGTACAAGTTATTCATTTTTGAGGAGATATTTCTGAGGAGATTAGATATATAAATTATCCATTTGCATAAGGCAAGAGAAAGTCACAGAAAAATGAGTGAAAAACTGGATTTCAAAAGATGATTACAAGATACAGAGTAAATGGGACTCCAAACAACCGTGCAAGACCTTCTCGACTACCAAAACTGTCACTGTCACCATCAGATTAACAGCACTAAAAGCTTTCATCCTTGAGAGAAAGGAGAAAAAAAAAAAATCAAGCTCCACTCTTGCTTCAGATCAGAAAAAAAACAGGTGTTTCTGCCCATCCTTCCACCATATGAAGAAATTATCTGATCTAGTCAATATATCTAATATTTCTCATTTTGAGATTGTTGTAAGTTTTCTTAAGTTTGTTGTGAGATTAAGTTGTTTTTAGACATTTCTACTTGTTTTAAGTGATTATAGCCAATATAGTCAGATAATTTGACTTGTACTTAATGGCCATTCTGACAAAAAATTAAATACATGAAAGATGGCCTCTGATATTTGCACAGTGCTGTATGCTGAAAGTTTGATTTTTCATCTCAAAATAATGACTTTTTTTTAATATTTTGAGTTACTGTGTAAAAATAATATTTGTCTCAATATTTATGGTGCAGAAATAATTTTCACTGACTTAAAAAACAACAACAACAACAAAAACAAATAATGAGAAAAAAACACTTTGTAGCTATGTGGTTTAATTGATTTAAAAAAAAGTCTTCAGATTATTCCGTTTTTGGCATAGTTTGAAAATGCCTGTTGCCCTTTAAATTGTGCATAAATTTTATGAACGGACAAAATCAAACGTCCCAAAATTATTTGAAAAAATGTCTGGTTCCTTTGACTTACATTAAAAATAAGTGTTTTTTCCTTCTCCAGGAAAGTTGTCATTTTGGAGATAGAAGGTTTTGTTCTGACAGCAGTGATTATATATATATATATATATATATATATATATATATATATATATATATATATATATATATATATATATATATATATATGGACTAAAAGTGAAAGCTTCTGAAAATAGAAAGCTTCTGAAAATAGCAGCTTAAGTTTACTAACCTTGTGACATCAGGCCTGTTATTGTACACACAAGTAAATTTAGACCAGCGTGAAGGTCTAGATATTAATCTGTTTTGACCTTAGAAATCTGCAACAGTGTCTTTTTAAAGACTCTTTAAAAAAAGGCAAGCATGAACAGATTTTCATCAAAGCTCCTTTTTTCAACATGGTCATTTTCTGTGACTCACAAAACAATGCTTAGTGATTCTCAGTTGAAATTTCTTTTATATTAGATGTTATTTGTACAGCTCTGCTCATAGGTTTACATGTTCTTGGCAAAATCTAAGATACTGGTAAAATAAGTAAATAAAAAAATAATAAAAAGTAATCATAGAGGACAACTATTTATTTACAAATATCACTCTGAAGAAGCTATATGACAAAAAAATTACATTCAATCCATGAGTAATGGCAGTAATGTACATTGCTAGCAGCAATGGTCTTGCTCAATGACCGTCTAGGATCAAACGCATTCTAGGAGCCGTTCAAGCAGATCATTGCTTAGGTGGTATCCACAGCTCTTTTCTAATTATAGTGATCTAAATTACTCACAGACAAATATCAGATATCATAATAAAGTCATCTGAACATCCCTTTACAAAAGACACAGAGACTATTGTGAGCAGGAAGGCATTTATGTCAATGTTTATTTAGCACTAGAGTAACCACACAATCATGGGGGAGCGCTGTAATCTCTGGAGATTTTTGCTTTTTCACTCCCCTCTAATGATGCCTAGTGTGCATCATGTACACATGCACAGATACTGCAAGCTGTCAGCGGTTCACCTTTGCATCACACTTGACTAGCTGGTGATCTATTAACAATCCAGTCATATGAAGACAGCCTGAATCTCAAATTCCTTTCTAATAGCTAGACTTTATGTTATACACAGGGTTAGGCGGAATACTTTGAAAAGGGTAATGATGGCTAGATACTGAATACACTGTCCTGAATGCATTCAGTAACATTCCATTACGTACAGTAGCTACGTGATTTTCAGTTAATGACGTGTAACTTGCCACGAAATGAATGCACGAGTCCAGTACAATACATACAATGTTCAGCTCATCTCTTGTGAAGTTTGATCATCTCTCAAAGTTTAGTAATGCTGAGATTATTAACTGATCCTCACATTCTAGCTCTAGTAGGAGCTTCAGTATCTGTAAAGATGCTGTTTTGAGTTCTTCTTTATTGCACATCTTTACACACTGCACACTGTGCGCTGCTTTTAAAGTAGTATATACACACATAAGTAGTATATACACACACATATACATATATATACATATACACACATATATATATATATATATATATATATATATATATATACATACACACACACACACACACACATACACACACACACATACTTCTAAATGGGTGGGTATTTATTCTAAAAGTATTCTCCTAAAAATGTACAAAGTAACTATCTATTTTCTGAATACTGCCTTTATAAAATATAACTTGGACCAAATACAGATTAAAATCTGTATTCTGAATTCGTATTCCCAATACTTGTATTCCGATACATCACAGCCCACAGCCAATAGATGCAATCTCACAATGAAGGCCTGTGTTTTGTATAGGCAAACATCTCTTTCTAAAAAAAACTCTCTTCCTATTTGACAGAATCTGCATGTGCATCTCTGAAACATGATACTCAACTACCCGACATTTCTGAATGCTCTAGACTTCTACTGAAGTATCGGTGGAATCAAAGAGCCCAAAGCACTGTCATAAAAAAGAGCGCTTTGTCTTTTAGGCTGTCCAACTGAATCATTAGGGTTACGGTTCACTGGATCTATCCCTCTCTTTCATTCTCTGACTTTCTAATTGGCAGTATTTCACACTCTCTGAGGAGCACTGAACAAAAGTTATGGACACACCTGGTGACGGACGCTTCCTGGAGAGATGGAACTAGAGGAACCTGTGGAAAACCCTTAAGGAACCCTTGAGATGGAAATTTAAATATGTATTTAATAGGGACACACTAATCAGCATCATCGTTTCATAAAGTAAATGTGCCAGATTTAGCCAAATCTATCTCTTTATGAAGGCCATTTAAGAAGTTTTGTTTAAAACACCATCATTTGGTCTTAAACAATGTATAGCATTACAAATACCCCATATTCTTTGGCACTAGGAGCCAGACAGAGACACTCTACCTTCTAATACTATGTCTGTCGGTGGAAGAAGTCCAGAAAAGGAGGTTAAAACAAGCCTGAGTTATTCTGTCTAATGCGATTTTAGGTAAGAAAGAAAGGAACAAAGAGTGGGAGAGATTCTTACCTTAAGTAAAAGATCCCTGAGTGTTTGTAAAAATAAGCACAGGCTCGTCTTTCTTCCTTTAAGCCTCTCTCACGCTGCCTCGTCTGGAGCAGGTTAGTGCTTGCTTGGTAAAGAGAGAGAAAAAGAGGAGCAGAGAAGAGAGGAGAGCAGGCGGGAGTGACTATTCTGTTCTCTATCCTCTGTGGAGAAAGTCCCACCTGAGGGGGAGGGGGTACATCGCATCTGGTTGCCACAGCGATATGAAAGTCATGCACACATGCACTTACACACAACAAACTACTTACTGGCAATGACTGGAACTTAACTTGGGTCCAAACCGCATGAAGCTAATGTAGAAGATAAAGCAAATACACAAATTAGCTGAGGTACGTGAGAAGGGAAAAAAAAACAAATGATTAGAATTACTGGACAAGATAACTACATTTTCATATTAGGAAGCCTTTTTATCTTTTTTCAGATTACTCCAATTTAAGACTTTATCTCTTGGCTGTATGAGGCAGAAAAAATACTTTCCATATTATAGTTATTCAAAAACTCAACTAAACATCAAAGTCAGAGAAGTGAAAGCCAGGAGGATCCTGGCTGAAAAGGACTCTGAAAGATTTTCCCTTGGAAATCTTTTTCCTCTACAATCTCTGCTTTAATTCTAGACCTCCAGGATTTCACCGACTGATTTTTTTGTTTAAAGAATAAAAAAAAAAAAAAATCATTTTAGGCCAATACCTTACCTATAAACCACATAAAAATGCAGAAGATGCATGTAAGTTCACAGGTCGTTTTGGACAGTGAACGTTCACATTAAACCACTCTGAATGATTTCTTTACGTTTCAACAGTTGAAAGCTGCACTATGTAAGATTTTTGGATTTGGAGACTGGTGGTAATTGCACTCAATGCACAACGGAAATTTTGTTTCATCAGTTTTACTTTGGACCCCTTCCCTAAGAGGATGAACCTGATGATTGCGAGCATGTCGAAAGAGTATTCAAAGTCCAAACTTGGTGAAGGACATGTTTTCTGAGGATATCAACTAATTATCTATTATAGTCATCAAACCTTCATTAGTATAACGCTGATTTTACATTTGATACCTAAACATCAATCTGGACCTCTTTTTTGAGCCCTTGAGTGTGATGGTAACATGTCATGGCGTGGTCCAAAAACAGCATTTTTAAATATGTTTTTTTTCTCTCCTGACTCAGTAATACTTCTTTTGAATTTAACAAAAAAAAATCTCACATGCTGCTTTAATTCTGCAGAATTTCAGAAAAATTGGTGGAAGTCAACTTTAAAAGTGTACGTATCGTCCAAAACCCAAACCAGTCTTACCAGAAACCTTGGGCTGGAAGAATTTACTTGTGGCTATCAAAAAACAGCACTGGTATCAGCAAGATTTGTTATGAAAACAGGCCCACATATTACTACATGATGATGCTGACTCATAGTCAGGACTTTCACACTATGTGTTTATGTAACCACACGTAAGAGGAATGAATGAGTTATCATGTTCAATAAAGATGTATTATTCAAGACATATAGATGGAATTTTATTCTACATCTATGTGCTCCTCTCAATTGAGTCATTTCTTATATACATGAAATGGGCCCATACAAATAAAAGCCCATACAAATGTGTAACCTGGCAGCCCTTTATAGATTAAACCGAGGTGATCAATTGTATTTATTAGACACTAAAATGCAATAGATACATATGCTGTGAAGATAAGCGACACGGCTGGATAAAAATGTGTCATTCCACATTCCACGTAGTCCCACTACGAGCATGTTAATTTAGACTGGATAGCAATGATAGCAAAGTTGCTATAGGTGCAGGCAGTCATAAATATAATCATCCATTTGAGAAAGTGTTGTAACAGACATATATACCCTTACTATAGCATGGGGAAGAAGTTAAAGTTGTTCATAACAAACTTATTCAAGTATACGTCCTTCAGTAATAAACCATAAAGCACTCCATTATATTCCAGCGCTAGTTATGCATTGCAATATCAACGATGCAAATTAATTTATTTACACCCATTTGTATGCACCGACGCACACTGTATACATACTCCATTTGTTGCTTTGGAAAAGGCGTATGACTGTGCATGTGAATAAAGAAAAGAAATCTAGCTCCCTTTGTGTCCAGCAGTAGCCTATTAAGCCATAGATCCTGTTCGAAAAGGGCTCTCCAATAAGAAACCTTATTACTACAAGGCATTTGGATCCGTCACCACACCAACACATAAGATATCATATAGCAGAAAAAAAAAAAATGTGTCAAGTCATACGACAGAGCAGGTGATAAAGGTAGTTTTTCCAGAGCACAACCTCTATTTCACCTTTCTTCAGAACAGATTATGCTGTGAAATCTGTAAAGCATCATGCCAGGATAAAGTTTTGTTCAACCACATTTAATGAAAATATCAAGAAGTCACAGTAAGGCTGTTTTTCTAAGGAACGTTGTTGAATTAGAACACGACTACAGTGTTGAACTCTATCCCATATTAGCAAAAGCATTAACTACACTGACGTCAGCACTGTTTTGTATGGTGCTTCAAAAAGTCCAGGGTCAACACTATCCAGTCAACAATACCTTTTATTTCCATTGTCACCAACAAATCTGCTCCTTTTAACATTATATAATCAGCATCATCATCATCTCTTAACAGAATATTTTACAGTTTCCATTGTAAACTAACATAACGGAAAATAATACACCGAAAAGTTAACTGACTGCAAACTACCAACTCTGCTCTAAAAATGAGTTGATGTGCATTTTAAAACCGTCATAGAAACAGCACAAATAATTCAGATGTATGATCCAAACTGAAGGATCCGGAAAAAGAAAGTACACTGTAAAGTAACAGTGGGAGACTGTTTTCCCTGAGCATTGTATTTTAATACAGTCAGTTCCTTATGAGGTCAACAATACAGATCCTTTTCTGGGAACTGGTGGGAGTAAAAAGGTAAATGTGGGCTTTCTTGTGAATAGAATAGAAAACCTGCTCTGCAGGGGTGTAACAATGAGACGTGTGTGAGAAGTGTATCATTGTAGGTAAATGAATCCAACACTTTGAAGGGGCCATGGATAACAGTGTCACACCTAGCAAAAGACTGAAGGAAAAGCAAGAGGCTTCTCACCCCTGGAGAACACACAATATTTCGGCCTTCTTATATTTTTAGTGTATATTTAAAAAGGGTGTAAACCATACATTAAGTCACTATTAAGGTAAGGTAGTCTAAATGAGACTCTTCAACAGCTTCTGTTCAGGAGCTACAAGTGCCTAAAAAGGCCAGAATACACTAAAGTTCCTGAAAGCACAATGAATTCAATTAAAAAGAATTTTAGATCACAATCTTATATAAATACCAATTCCTTAAAGGGGTTATGCTGAAATGTTAACACTGATAACAATAAATGAAAGCCCCGCTCACTGTTAGGCCTTGTTTCAATACTTGCCCTTGGCTAGAGACATAAAGGAGGAGGCGACAGTTCACAGGTTTGAAAATGAATTGGGAAGCTTATAACGCTCAACATGGTTGTCTGTGTATAGGGAAACAAACAAGGGGCTTACTGGTTAAGCAGCAAGTGGGGAAAAGCCCTCAGTCGTAGAGATATGCGCATGCATAGCAGCCAGTGACTTCAAACATGTTTTGAAACAGTAATGTAACTTTCAGTTTTGGGTTTATAGGTCTCTCCCTATTCAAAGAGACAGGAACCTGAGGCTGTATTATCCTTTGTCTTAAAATCTGACAGCTCAAGATACGTTTTTTTCACAAATTTGCATTACAGAAGCAAATCTTCTCATCTTACAGCATTTTAAGTTAGGAAATCCTAACCTACTTGATCAAAGTTGACAATCAACTATCATGTCTGTTACCTAGAAACCAACAACAGGCGCACAACTGATGTGTAAATACGTAACAAATATAATGTTAAAAATGTAAGTTACAGCTGCTGTCACTGACATTAAAAAAGGACAAAACTGAAGTGCAATAAACTAGAGATTAAGAATACTGTGAGTGCTCCCCCTGCTGTTTATCATAGCACCGCCACCCCAGTTTCAGTTTCCATTTCTCAGACGCTTTAGCCAACCATGTTAACGTTATTCCTGCTAATAAACAGACACAGGTTCAGCTCTGTCTCCTCATTATTCACCACCATCACTGTGATATTTTATCTGAGAAGTCCTCATCAACATTAACACAAGAAGGTGATAAGAGGGGACGGTGGAGATTGTGTCTGCAGTGTCTGTGATTTTTAAAACGCAGAGATAGAAAACAAAACATCTCACAAGCACCATTTTGAAATGTAAATGAATGTAACGTCATTATGCTAATTATAGTAAACAATTGCCTAAAAACAATAGAAACGGATGGTTAAAACAGAAGTTAAGCCAGCTCTGGGGTTGTGTTAAAGTTAGAGCAGTATTTAGGAAATTTCGTCTAGTTAGGATGTTTCTGTAAGACTGCTTTCTTACCTGGAGTTAGAATAAGATTAAGAACTGCTGTTCCGTAATAGCTGTCCTAAATTCAGTCTAAAGTTGTCATGGTAACTAAACAGATAATATTTCAGAGTTAAGATGTGTCTATAACACAGCCCTTGGTCTTGTATGACTGGACATGCTGCTTGGGGCATTGCCAAGATGGCCAGCAAATGGACAGACTATCCTAGAAAGACCTTGCCTTGGCTAGGTTAGCCACAGTGAGCTAATTATCTAGCCATGCAAACTTTATAATGCAGAACGTTTTTTTTTGAGAAGTCTGAACATAATGTACATACACTGTGTAAAAAACTGCTTTGTTTGGTGATGTTTGCTTTTTTTTTTTAACTAGTATATGACCTTTATTGTTTGTTGTTGCTAGCGGTGTAGCCTTTAGCTAGCTAAACAGTAAGCTAGCAGAGCAAAAGTTGAATCAGAATGATAGACTTCTAATAGAAAGAGTAGTTTAAACATAGCAAATCAAATGTTATAGTTTTTAAATGTTTTTAGCATTTAAATTATTTTATTGCTATAAACAGCTTTGTCAGTCATTTTTCAGACTCAAAAATGGGAAATGACTTGCATAATAAATGATTTCTTTACAATTTCTACTGCTGAAGTCGACACTTGTGTTTACTGAAGGGCTCATTTGAAACTCCACTTGTGCTAATATAGAAATGGAACGGCCCTTAAGATGGCGCCAGGGATCTCTCAGAGGGTAAATGATGAGGCCAAGTTGGCAAGGGCTTGTTAAAAATAGTGTTGAAACGGGCAGCAAGTCAATAAAAGTCATAAGCATTTGGACAGCTATAACTTTTGCTTTGGTGTGTTGTTTACTCCAGCATATTTAACTTTGTGAGTAATCATTTTCTTTTAAAAGTTAAAAGTGCAGAATGTCAGCCTTAACATAAGCTTATTTACATTTGAACTCTTTGAAACGGGTCCCCATTTGAGAAACATTGCACTATATAGTGTGTCAGCCATGTAGCAGCATTTTTTGAATTCGTAATGATAAATCTTATGGTTATTCCATTGTCTTTCTCCAGTCAGTTCAAACACTATCTAGTGTATAATGAACCATTTTGGAAACAGCACTATGCTGAATGAATACTATAGTAAATACATAAAAGAAATGCAGCCCTTTTTATACATACTTCTCCACATTTCAGGGGACCATAAAAAGTTGGACAATTTAACATGTTTTTCACCAGTGTGATGTCTTTGTAGCTTAAAGTAGAGCTGATTTTAAAACAGTGTTTTGGCTTTGCGTTTGACTAATTTAGTATGATTTTTCAGTCTGCTTTACTGGCATTGGCCAGTTGAAAGCCAATACAAACAGGCTCCAGACCTAGAATCAGTTCCCCACACCTATTAGCCCTGATGTGCAGGAAGTAATGATATGACACACAGCTAGTGACAAAACAAGTGAGCAGCCAATTACTTAAGCCCGTAAGTATAAAACAGTACACCCAGTACAGATGCTAGCACTCTTGAAGCTGACACACTCTGCACTTTAACCTTGTAGTCATCACCTCATTAAAATCCAACACACTGACATACAGAGCCAAAATGATAAAAAAGGTCACTTTCCAATTACTTACATAGTTCTCTGTATCTATGATGGTACATTTTGAATACAGCAGCTTGGGGTTAGCAGTCTCCAACAACCATCTTGAGAGGTTTTCTGAGGATCTGTCTTTCAATCAACACTAAAGATTACATGATGGGCCACAGAGTGGGACAAAACACAACGTAAATGATGATACGAAAAGACATGAAAAAAATACCCGACACCCCGCGCTGGGCAGGGCGGAACTTTCAACCATGGAAGCTGCGTCCAGCACAGCAAAAAACAACACATACGTACAACAAGGATACAAACTCATTGGTTTAAATCTCACTTATTAAGCTCTTTTGACCCATACTTGCTGGTTCTAAGGTCTTTCCTTCGTGCTTTCCTTGTTCCTGACCTGCTTTATGCCTCAGTCATTCCAGTCATTCTGTGCAACAATTTCCTTTTCAAGCCAATATTTAGGCTTGATAAATAGTCATCAGCATGTTTAAACTTTTACCACACACAAAACTAAGTGCACAAACAGGAGACTTTGACCATCAACCACAGGCCTAGTTAAAACTGCCACTGGCAGAAGCCCTTTTCTAAATCCATCTGTCTTGCCTTTCCTCTCAGGTAGTCTGTTTGTCTGGGTGGCTTTTGAGTTTGTGGAACTTGACACTGTCAAGCTTCTCAAAGCGCTTTCCGCAGTGTTCACAAGTGTAGTTGTAGTGAGCCTCGGGTGTATGTTTCTTCATGTGCCAGTTGAGGGAGGCCCGCTGCCGACACTGGTAGCCGCAGATTTCACACCTGCAGGGATGGAGCCAACAACATAACCACAAAGTTAAACTAATTTGTCCATTAATGAATTATTGAAACAATTAAATGCTAAGATTACTGCTTAAGATATCAATACTTCTAGAACGCTGAACAAAAACATGTACCATAAAAAAGAAAGTTTTAGACCAATAATAGACCAATAATAGACAGCCTGTGAACTACAACAACCAGTGTAAATAGTACCATTCCTACCACACAACATACAAAAATTAAAATATGACATATATTAATGACCATTTTATTCAAACAGAGGTCAATTCTCTCACCACAGAGCTGGATATGTATGGCTGGCAGGCTACTTTAAATTAGTTTAATTAAACCCAGTCTTTGGGTATTGTCTTATAATTTAATACCTTGAATTGCAAAAAATAAGACACTGTCAGACATTTTATCATCTTAATTTTTTTAAATCTATTTTAAGACCCAAGACTTTTTAGGCATCCATGGTAACCCTATTATATTTCTTTTTAAACACTGAATTAAAAAGCATTTAAGCATAAAATGTGCTCAAGTACCACATATCATATTTTGCCACACTGCCAATCTTTACCCAAGTTAGAACTAAATCAGACTCACTGTAACGGTGTCTCGCCTGTGTGAGTGCGCCTGTGCACCTCTAAATGGTTCTTGCGTTTGAAGGACTTGCCACATGTCTCACATATAAAGTCTCGCACTCCTGAAAAGACAAAGAGGCTAGTCAACAGTATTCTACAAGCATAGTTTATGGAAGATAAGTAAAAGCACACAAAATTAAGCACCTGAGTGGATGATCATATGCCGATGTAGATGGTTGGAGAGGTAGAACTTCTTCCCGCAGCCTGGATGTGGGCATACTTTTGTCCTGCCTTTCCTGTGCACCAGATTCACATGATTCTGCAGGATACAGATTTACAGATATCCATTTATTCAGCCGCTTCACAAAGAAAAGCAACAAATATCTCAGGGGCAGTGTTACAAGACTTATAAAACGATTTTCAAACAGCAAAAGATCTGATGTATCAGTGTGCACACAAACCCACTTCATCTGCCTAAGAAATATTATAAGCTATGCTCTGCAAAGTAATTTATACCGCAGATAGTCTAGAAGGCATTAGACCTTATCCTGTAGACAAATAACAATAAAATCCATCAGTCTCACTAATAAATCTTTTACACTTGCATTTTGCACTTTTAAGACTAATGACTAATAGAATGTAGACACCACTACTGCAAGCAGTGATTTACATTTGAACCTCAGGTTGTCTGTTTTTGCATGTGTAGAACTTGGGTGGTGTCAACTGTCCTCACCTGGAAGCTGCTGATGGCCACATACACCTGACTGCAGCCCTCATATGGGCAATGAAACATCTTCAGCATGCCATCCGCTTCAATGACAGGACCCCGCCGACTTCTCTTAGAAGATCTGGAGTGTGTGGCAAATTTTCAGTTCATTCACACTGGTTTTATTCTTTGGCTTAGAATCAAATAATTTCCATATCTAAAGCTTGCTCAAAATCTGCTAACTGCTGCCATAGTAACAGATCTTCAGAGACACAATCACTTCCACGGTGAGCTACAGCACCATGAGGAACAAAGCCCATCTTACAGGAACCCTTATTTATGAAGGCAACAACTCAACAATCACAGATGAGTCAATATGCAACCTCACAACTGTACTCCACACACAGACCTGTTGGGAGAGCGCTGCAAATCTTTCTGAGTGTGTGATTCCTCACTAGGCTCCAAAAGCTGCTTTTCACTCAGATCTGCAAAACAATAACACTGTCACTCGAGTGACTGACAATCAATATGTGTTGCTAACTTACACATGGAAAAAATGTCACTGTATTTTGGGGAAGCAATACCTTGTCAATTAAATTTAAAACGTACTTTATTTAAAACATGTTGTAAAAGCTCCAGTCCTTGAGGGCCAATGTGCAGCACAGATTAATGATTTCTCCGCCCAAACATACCTGATTTAATTCTGTTGTTATCTGCCAGGGTTAGGGAGTGTTTTTGAGCAGGGAATTCATCAAATCGTGCTGGACAAAGACCTACTAGCTGAATACCCCAGTTTTAAGAGGTACGGTTTTCTGATAGTTAATGCAGTCTATTTGTGTGGCACTGCAAGCTATGCTGTCCTAGTAATTACATTAAAAGGAAATTTCACTGATTTTTCACAATGAGAAGAAAATTACAGTGTCAGATTTGTTCCCAGTGCTAGTGATGGGCACCAGTTGTCTGATGTGTTTAATGCCTCTAAAATCTGCCTCACAGAAAACTCTTACATGACCTGGTTACGAAAACACGAGCTTGTTTTACAATAGTTTTGGCCTAAGAATGTCTCCCCCAATGTACAATTAAAGCACTGTTTCTCCTTCCATTTTTCTTTTCTTTAAGGGGACAACCCTCCCCACCACCCTCCCACCCCGCATCCTTAAAGGTCCATAAAGAAAAGGTTAAACACAAAATGACAATAAAAAAACAGCATAAGCGATGCTAAAAACATTGCCAGCCTTCATGATGCACAATGTGCTTCAATATACATTTGATTAACAGACAGTAAAATCTTATATTACAGTGTTCAAAGGCATGGGGTGGCAATCTAAATGTGAGCCTTATCACAGGCAGCAGCCCATGTATAGAACAGAGGTTGCCACAAAAATATTGTTTCTATTAGTAAACTTATAGCGAAATCTCTCCATATGCAGCACGTTCCCGAGATCCCTAAGCTACTGCTGTAATAGAGGGCTAGCCTTTGACTTCCACTGCAGCAAGATAAAGGCAATAACGTACAGACAGAAATGGCTTGGCCTTATATTTATTAATCCATGAACTTACTACTGCTGAACCAAAAATAGCAACCATCTGGTGCAATAGTTTTATTAACAGATTTTGATCTATAGTCAAATATAAGCATCCAAAAGGAATTTAGTTTAGGGCAGGACCAGAACTGATGGGTAGGTTTTCTGGTCTCTTGTTTACACATCACATAAAGGAGCGATGTTGGGATATATCATGAAGCTTGAACTTGGAATGTTGCAGTCTGTGAACTACTTTGTATTGTACTAACATATGTCTGGTATTTATAGAGCTACTGAGTATTCTGTCAAAAGTAAACATTTGGGGACCCTGAACTGCAGCACATACAGTCTTTGAACTGCAGTCTGTAATATCTGCATTTCCCTCTTTCAACCAAGTGATGTAAATGAAAAGCACAAATGCCACTAAGCCAACTAAGCAATAACTTGATCCACTGCTATTTTTTATTATCGATATTACTGATAATGTTGATTAGTTGTTGCAGCCTTAATCTCAACTGCTGAATTTTGCAGAAATCAGTGGAATTCCCCTTTAAGTATAAACTTAGCACTGCAAGTGCATGGTGCAATGAACTACCAGACTACAGTAGAGGTGACCAGGCTTGCACAGCTTTCATTCTGTTACATATATTCCCATTAAACCACTTATTAAAAATGTTGCCCCACCATAGAGAAAAAAGGTTGCCCCACCATAACAGACTGTGATCTTCACTTGACAATACAGACAAATGTCCAAGAGTCCAAACATTGTAATATTACATTTTGGCAACTGCACCTCCTCCACACCCACAAAGGAACACTCTGCCAATCCATACCCCCTCACTCCCTCTAGTACTGAGCTCTACTTGAGAGTAATGAAAACCTTTACAGCAGTGGTCTCCAATGCTGGTCCTGAAGAGCTACCTTCCCGCCTTGGGAAGAGGTTGATTAGCTGTGGCCAATTTGCCACACCTGCTTCAGCAAATCAACCTCTTCCCACATCCCTGATTGGCTGAATCAGATGCATTAGAGGTAAATAAGGGACAGGGCAGCTTACTAGACACAGGCTGGAACTAAACTTTGCAGGAAGACAGGTCTCCAGGACCAGGTTTGGAGACCACTGCTTTAAGTGATTCAAGCACAATGCACTTCTCACACCTGTGATGTTATCAGTCTCTGGTATGCTGCTTCGGAGCACTGCTCCTGATTGGCACATCTGGTTATAGGCCACACCATCAATCACTGTGCAGGTGACTTCCTCCACACTTCCGCTGCCCATGTTGAGCTGAATGCCTTCAGATGTTAGAGCTTCATAGCTGGGACCTGTGATTATGATAAGCTAGCAAGAGCAGAGAGTAGAAAACAGCAAGCGAGGGAGTGAGTGAGAAAAAGTAAATCAAAAAAGGTTACATGGATGCATTTAACAGTCTGATCATTTAATAGCACACAAATTTCTGTTACCAGCACACAATATTTTGGTGGCTCCTACTCTGAGTCACTTTCCTCTGTGGTCCTAGATCAGATACAAATTTAACATGTGGCCTTGCGACCACAGTGAAACTGGTCAGATTAGAATTCATAAATATGCATGCAGCAGAAAGAATGCAATTTTCAAGTTGTAAAAGCTGCAATTTTCAACTCATAAGAGCTACAATTTTAATTATATCCTACATTATTTAATGTTGTCTTAATTTGAAAAATGTATCCTAATAATACACAACTTGTGAACTGTCAGTCTGTCACACTACATTCAGCATTTAAGCCTCAAGTCTGAAAAAAACGTATGTGCTCGTCTTCCTGCTGAAGAAAACAGGTTTGTAGTTTAATTATACAGTAATTAACTGAATTTAATTTACAATCATAATATTAATTATAAAAACTGCACTTAGATATTTTTCCCAAATTACTTAGCCATAGGATGCAGTCACTGTCATTATCCAGTGGTAGTATGTTGACTGGCAAAATTGTGGAAAACTGATCTGCTCGATATTTGGGGAAAAAGTTAACTGGAAGGAAACTACTGAAATCAAGCAGCGTCCAAAAAAACAACTGCTACAATGCTGTCAACAGGGATACACCAATCACGCATTCTCTGTTCTGATACCAATTCAGATACCTGAAAATTCCAAAGGAATAAAAGATAAAATATTAAAAATATTAAAAGTGTTATAGTATGAATGTTAAATTAAATACATCAATCAAAATGAAAAGAAATATATAGCTTAATCACTTAGACCTATCTGAGAAAAGTCAGGGTGTCACAGGACACAGTACATGTATATTAATAGATTTATGTTCTCTGGGACTTTACCTTACATAAAATAAACAAATGTATTTTTCATAGTTAGGGGAGGCTACTGGACAATCTGCTGTTTCCATTACAACAACTATGACTAACAGTACTGAATACAGATAAATCTTGTGTGACCATGCAATTCATTCAACAATGCTATTTGTGGCAACAGCAATTACTGATTACAAAATTGTGTGAGTGCGGTTCATTTCAGGGTAGAAGTGTGTTCACACAGGAAAAAGTGGATCTGCGCAAAAAATTGAAATTGAGCAATAATGCGAACATAATTTGATTGTATGTAAACAAGCTCTAACATGTCTCCATGTGACGTACCTGAGATCCTTCCAATGTGGCCCGCTGGTCTGGCAGCTCACAGCTGCCCACCACACTCTGAAGCGCCTGGGTCTCGAACAGTTCCCCCTGCACTGGGGCAGCTGCCATTGGTGTGTGACCTGTGCTTTCTGAAAGTGTGTGGGCCTCGCCTTCCTCCACACCCCCTCTCACATGACTGTCCCCATCTGATCCCTCCAGGTTGTCCATTAAAGATGCTGTGACCACCACACACTCGTAATCCTCTGTCACGGCCCTGCCCCTTCCTGCAGTTTCGGTCTTCAGGTCGGTTGCCTCGGTAGGAAATCTTTCTGTTGCCAGGTCCTGGTCTGAAGCTATGTGTTCAGACTCAGACACAGTTGGCTCCCCCTCTAGTCCTACGCCCACCTCCCAGGTGGCCTGGTTCACCAGTGACTGAGAAGATGTGATGGAGAGCCTGTCAGCTACAGGAGCTCCTGGGAGCTGACTGAAAGCTGTGGAGCACATCTGACGGGCCACTTCTGACACTTGTGCTGTGGCACTCTCCAACTCGTCTGGTGCATCTGAACAAACAAGAGGCATTTGTAGTCCCAGCGATGACTACTATGGCTATGACAGCTCAATGCAGAATACAACAGAATGCCACTCAGGATCTGGTTCACCCCTCCATGGAATCATTTAATCAATCATTTAAATTACATGACTATACAACTTCATCACAGAATAATTCATAGTAGTTAATCTAACAAATTAACATACTTAGTCTAAAATAACTGAATAACAAGCCTATAGTTCAAGTGGCTAAAAGCAGAAGAGCTTAAACAGGACACATATGCATAACCATACCAAAATAAGTTGCTTTTTGCTGTGCTTTAGGGAATTCTGATCTTTGATTTATAACTGAATCACACCTGACAGTTGGCTTTGGTTTAGCGCTCTTTGACTAGCCCTGGGACTGAGGCCACCAGCTGTTGCAGCAGTCTCAACAGCCCTTTTTTCTTCAGGCTCCTCCCTAGCGTCGTCCTCGTCCTCAGACTCACTAGCACCTCCTGCAGCCCACGAGATGTGCTGTACAAAAGAATGTTCAGCATCACACTGCCACAGCACAGAGGTGGACAGACCCAGTGTTGGCTCCACTGCGCGCAGTTCAGGCTCATGAGGACACGTCTGGCAGTGCTCCTGGTACCAGCTCACTAAGCTGTGCAAACTGGTGACAGCCACCTTTTTCCCTACCAAAAAGAAAAGAAAGTAACGGTTCACTAAATTTCACAAGCATGTTCCTCTAGTTTCGTCAGTGCTATGCTTTGTCTCTAGCATTAATATTCTTGAGTTTCCAATGTTCTGAACTACCATCAAGAGAACCTGGCCAAGATTTATGTCTCATTTTGGCCTAATACACTTCATCATGTTAAAGGAGAACTCTGCCGGCTTTTCAAAATTTGTGCATAATTACATAATTAAGATATAGATAAATTAATTATTTGATGTTTGAGTGGTTTGACATGAAATGCTCTGTTCTAGAGAAACTTAGTGAGTCAGAATTGTTAACAGTGGTGCTGATAGGAACCAGACACATTAACCATTTAACGCCTCCAAACAAAGTTACTACATGAAATTAACGCAAGTGCACTGCCTGATGACTGAACATTGTTACACTTGTTTTAGATTTCTGGTCTAAAATGTATTTTTTGAAAAAAAAAATTATAAAAAATGGCAAAGAATTGCATGCAGGGCATTGTAAGGCAAAACAGAACCCAAGGTAAACATGAATTTGATTTCAAACCATTCTACCTTTAACAGCACTACACATAAAAAACTCTAGAATGACTGCTTGTTTTTGGATAGAAAATAAAATAGCTATATTTGTGCTATTGACACTGGTTCCCTTCACTAACACTCTTAAGAGTCAGTAAGTAGAAGTGGGCAACATGACTATATATATTTTTTGGAGATTTTTTTCCCCCCAATTTCCTCCCCAATCACGTGATACCACCAGCACTAGGAGGGTGAAGGCAAACACAAAATTCCTCTGAGACAAGTGAAGCCAGTCACTGCATCTTTTCAAACTGCCGCTTACACAAAATCATTGGACAGCTGAACGTGCTAGCAGGACAATGCTAACTGCCAGTTTTGTTACATCAGCTAACAGACGTCTGTGCTGACTAGCATTGTGCTGAGCAATGGGGAAAAGTAGGGACATCCTACCCACCCAGAGAGGGGGCGAGGCCAGTTGTGCTCTCTTGGCCTCCCAGCCACGGATGGTTGTAGCATCAACAGGGATTGAACTCAATCTCCTGACAATAGGGTCAACACCTAAGACTATTGCAACACTATAGCCCCCAACTATATTTACTATCGTAATAAATTACATCATATACTTTTCTGGGCGAATCATAGATATTGTTAGTACTTTAACACCAACCAACTGCACATTTCATTACAAAAGAGAACATAATTAGTCCTGTTTAACTGGATGTAGCGCCACGTAGGACAACTGAAAAAAATAACTGTATTCAATTTTGAATAGTACATCAGGATATACATTTCTATCGCCCAGCTCAGTTTGTTTTTCTATGATGTATCATTTCCCATCACAAAACTCTGAATGCCTTTGTTTCCATCTCTACTATTAAATAAAACCTGAAAAACATACAGACCTCTCCATTAACAGAGTAAACGTACCCTTTAAGGAGCCTCTTTCTTCATGTTTTCGCAGATCAGTATTTAGCTAATGGCAGCTGGCTTCGAGCTGCCATTAGCTAAATCAAACAAAACTAATGTTAATTTTGTAATCACCAGTTTCACACAAGATGCTTTATTTGTCTGAATCTACACATTTTTCTTATATGAAATTTGCGTTCAGGCTAACAAGAGTCAATGAAGCCAATCATTGTGGATTTGACTGCTGGCATCAAGAAGCCTGATGGCAAGTTTAAGCATGAAAATGAAAGAATCTTCTTTTCAAGGGCTTTCAAGCATTGGCTGACACAGGATCAAATCAATGTGGTGATCACTAACATGCATGGAACTATGAAAATATCTCCATCTTTTGAATGCGTTCACCTTTTTTCTGGTTTCTGCACAGCTCTGGCGTGGTCTTCTTCCTGTCAGTGATAAAGTACAGTTATCACAAAACTATGGATGTTATGCTATAAAATGTAACCTGTTCCAACCTATAAGAAGTGGTGAAAACGACTGACATGACTGGATATTACGTAGCTGGAAGGGTTATTTTTAACATACTTCAGTCAATGTGGATATTTTCCATAGTGAAGTCAAATTCAAAGGACCTTACAAACTAAATGTTCACCACAATATTTGCACTTACATTACATTTTTGGTGCTTGTTCAGTTGCATCAATATGAAATGTAACATGAATTTTAAAATAACAACTACTGTAATAAATTCCTCCCATTCTAATATTTAACTGAACATAAATGTGCCTCAAATTTGGCCTTAAGACACAGATTTTGAACTTTGGCCATAAACCGTGCCTCATTCCCTTATTACATACTTAAAAAAG